AAGCGAGAGAGATAGTGCTACAACCTTCTGTCTGTGCAATTGGCTGCGCTGACCGTCGGCCTGACTTCATGCGGCTACGTGCATACAACCCGCAGGAAAAGTGCCAGGAAAACGACGGCAACACCAAATCCACCTACAATGGTGACAGCGTGGCCGTAAAGGAAACAGGAGAGGAAGAATGGCGATGGCCTGCCTCAGGGGTCATGATGGAGTGAAGACGGCAGCAACCGAACTGGTTGATGGTGTAGAAGATGAAGAGCTGGCCACATGCTGAACACACGGACAGCAACACGGCATGAAAAGGCAAACTCAGAGTGACGCGTCATGAAGGCCAGCGAGTCGAAGAAGGCCCTGCTCCAGCAGCGAGCCGACGGTGAAGAGGCAGGAGAACAGGTTGACTCCAAACATCATCTGCACTGATGAACATCTTGTACTTGACAAGGTTGTCCTGCCAGTTGGAGGTGAAGCTGTCGAAGACGATGTAGCCAACCAGGATGATGATCCCGCTGAAGGTGGTGACGGTGGACGGGTTGCTTGCTGGTCGTGCTGGACGCAGGAACATGCTGACACCCCACTGAGATCAGCACGGCGGTGAAGTACTCCCAATATTCATAGCTCTTACGGGAGACGATCTTGCCCATAAGCATGACAGGAATGACTTTAGAGGCCTTTGGCCAAGACTTGCGTGGGGAAGCTGATGTATTTGAGGGCCTCGTACTGGCACCAGCTGCTCAGGGATGTTGGGAGAGTGAGGCAAAGGAGTACTTGTACATCGGTGCTCCGTGGCGAGGTTGCTTAAACAGGACGCACCAGAGGCCCGACACGGTCAGAGCCAGGATACGGTTCATAAGACCAAGAACTGGGAGTCCTTGAATTTCTCTCCCTGGTCCTCTGGAGTCGTGGCCCCATAGGAACGAGTCATCACCCTCTCCTGCAGGACACCCCATGTCAGGTACGATGCCTAAAGAATAAATATTGATTTTAAGCTTGTCAAGGACAGTGATAATGTTAGATATTTTTAGCATAGAAATGATGTTAAAAATTTGAGCACTGAGGTTCACTCTTGACCTTTGAGCTTAGACTTTCTCTCACATACACTGATAAAAACTGTTGCATTGTGCGGTTCCGGCTTTCTTTTGGCTGAATGTCACTATCTACGTTAAGTGTGGGCAGAAACACAAAGAGGGAATTTTGAACTAAAAAGACTAACTTTGGTTATGGCTTTAACAGTGGATTGTTTCCCCTTTTTTTTTTTTTTTTTTTTACAGTGTAGTCACACTAGGATGGGTATCAGCAACCTCTAACTCTGTCAACATACATATGGCATGTTAATACTGTAGTAAAGCAGCATAACTCATCTTTTCAGTCACTTTTGGGCAGGGGACGTAAACATTACACTGACCAGCAGTTTCCTATTTACACCTCCAGCAGACATTGAGTGCCTTTATTACCAGCCACACCAGTGGGGCTGGTATTGTTTTTCCCTTATGAGTCTATTGTGTGTGTGTGTCATCATAGAAAAATGTGGTCCTGGAGACACCTACTGTAGCGGGGACTACCACAGCTTTGTCTGTGGACAAATCTTGTCACCATGATGAGGTTAGGGTTGAACTATGCAAGATAAAGTCATGACATTTTACAGGTGTGTAGTTGAGATCAAAATAAAGGCCAAGTTTAAAGAAGTGTGTGGTCCAACCAATGAATACTAAGTAGTCATGTAATGTAGTAATAACTACTGAATACTCATGGGTCAGAACATAAACATGTTGACGGACGTCGCAGCTAGTCTGATCCCATCAGAAGATGGTCTGTTTTTTTATTTGGAGTCATGTTTCTGGCCACCTGCCAAATTTTAGTTGAATATTACCTCTCCGCGCTCCGTTTTGGTCTCCACCAACTTCTGAGGAAAACACCTGGCTCTTTAGCTCTTAAATGCCACACTGTGTGTATCAGCCAGCCTGTCTGCTGTTTGAGGTACGGTAGGTTAGGTAGAGCTGAGGGGAACTGCAGAGTCAGGTAATAATTCTCTATGGGTTTGTTACTACTAGTGACATCTTTCACATAACATATAAATGTTTGGTCCATTGTTAATATTAAAATATTGATTAGTGCAGCTTTATCCTTTAATGTAGAGCTTGATTTCATAGATGGCGACGTTTTCTTAACTCGCACTTTCCTTCAAATAAACATCAATGAAGCATCATTTAAAATAGCCAGTGAGCTGAGAACAGACCAGGCTGTGGCTATAATCACACTTAAATTAAACAAACATAAAACAACCCTCCCAGCAGCTGCACAAGCACAAAAAACTCAATATGGTGGTATTATAGGGATTAGGCCACATGCAGCTTTATGTATTCAACGGCTGTATTTCTTGGGAGGAAACCCCACCTGAAGTCCAGCAGCACAAAAGATTAACTTGATGGCCTGTCTGACTGACGAGCCTGAATCTCCCTCGTTCCTGGGTGCAACTGACACATCATCCAAAAGACCTGTTTTGGCCTCATTGCCAAACACGCAGGTTCTTATGACAGGGTAGCAGATCCCACTACCTGAAAGTAAGGGAAACAGAGAAATAAATGAACCTGATATCAAGGTGGTCAGGAAGACACTATAACTACTAATGTGTGTTCTTTAAGTGGTATACATTCCCAAATTAGATGTGTGTGTTTTTCTCATGAGCCCAAACCTGTTTCCAAGTAATTGGTGCGCTTGAAGTAGCTAATGAGGAGGTAGCCAGGGATGATGATGGTGGAGTATCCCAGCATGTTGACGAGGAAGCGGAAGAGCCAGACATCGTGCCAGCCTTCCAGTAGTGATGACTCTTCTGCAGCCACAGTAGAAGGGAAGAGAAGCAACACAAGTGCGGGCCAAACCCTAAGGGAGTAACACAATATAAGATATAGTGGAAATACAATTACATTTCTAAATGCTAAACTAATATTTGACAGGCAAGGTATTTGTGTGTTTGCTCGAGTGAAGGGATGGATCAACACAACTGCGAGAATGTAACCCTCAGGTTTGGCAGGGCAACTACTCAACACTTTCACGATATCAAGTGACAAACTCTGACTAATTTGTCTCTGTAATATGCTGTTAATATAATACATATCAATACATAAAGACAATACATTTTACATAACCTTATATAGGTTATGTAAGATGGATAAAATCGCACTGAAGCATTTGGAATCAATATATTGTACTATATTTGTACTTTCCGACACCTTGACAGGATACCTATAGGTATAGGAGGTGTTTCTTTCCTATGTGGATTGGGACCCATCACTCCAGCAGAGGAATGTCATCTTGCTTTAAAACAGACGTCTTGAAGCAGAAGCAACACAAGGGTGCTGCCCTGGGCAGACATTTTGCAATGAGATGAATAATAATGGCTACTCTAGAAATGTAGTGTTTCACTTATAAAGTGGGGAGTTTGGAAGAAAGATTTTAAAAATAGATTCGGCAGAAGCTAAAATAGCCAAACCTTTGGTCCGAAGGTTGAGTAAAGCTTCAAAAACATTGGATACTACACTTCCCATAATGCAACACAATAGCATCTTTCATTAGACCCTTCCTGCCATGTCTTTCTAACTTCGCCCAGTTTGTAATACAGGGTTTATGTTGAAGTCTCCAAGCTGTAGCTGACATGACCCTGAGGAAATCATTGGGGTTATTTCCTCAGAACACTCCCTCAAAGTACACTACACAACTGTTTGGACAAGCCCAGTAGTACTACCCATGATGAGCAAAGCAATCTTTATGCACAACATTGGCTGGCTATTGGTGAAGTACTGAATGTATGGAATCATGTAAAACAAGCATAACCTGTTCAGCTAACCATGTAGAAATTAGATGACTTTCCTCGCCTTAAGTAGCAAGTAAACTTAAGTAGCACTGGTAACTCAAGCGCACCTGAGGTGAAACCCTAGCTTCCAGTGAAAGAGGTGTGGTCCTTGCTATCGTGGCACTGAGTGTGTATCCCATTCGGAGCGAGGCTGGGCCTCCTCCCAGGGGGAGCCTGACTCACACAGAGCCTCTTTGTGTGGGACTCTGCTGTGGCATGGCTAGCCAGTAGCCCACTGCAGCAAGACCTGGGCTCTGAACAGGCAGCTTATTACATGAAGGAATGCAACGCACCGGCTGGGCAGCCAACCCACAGGCTGCTACACCTCAGGCACACAGAGAGAGCACTGCCAAAGTGTACCTGAGGGAAGAATGAGTGCTTGTGTCCTGTATGGATATATAACAGCAAATAATATAAACTGAAACTGAAATAACACAGCTTTCCTGTGATAAAAAAGACAACAGCAGCCCTTTATAAAAACTATGTAACTATTACTCCCTCCCTACTGGGAGATGTGGCCTGGATAAATTAATATATGCACAGTAAACACAGTGGGAAAGCAACGGGGAAAACCAAATTATGTGACTCATCATATCCTATAAGGGTGTGGGAATTTCAGGCATACCGCCAATTCAATAAAAATAAACATACTTTATGACATATTGTATTATAATGAAAAGACCAAAATGACTACCAAATATTGTCAGCTCTTCAGACACACCCTCATACCTTTACACTACACACTTGTGCTTAATAGCTACAATCTGAATATTAAAGGTGCATGTTTTAGTTGACAGCTATCATCGTTGTGAACTAAGGGACACAATTTCTGGCAACACCTTCCAGAACTAAGTAATAATGGATGATAAGAAAAAACAAAAACACTTGTAGCAGCACTAGGTTAGCTGACACCGGTTCCTATACACAAACCGTGTAGTTTTACTTTAGCCAGCAGGTTGTTTGTTTTGTACTTCAAAAACACACGGACAGTCACTTTAACCACGAACAACGGTAATTAACAGTTAACTGACTTCACTACACACTGACAGTCATATCAGTCATCAGTCAGCTGGGCTTGTCCACACTTAAAACTCATCATTAGCATGATATAATGTCCAGTTAGCTCATTTTGGTCTCCAACGTTACCTCCATGAAAAAGATGGCATTTTCCCACACTCTGTGGCCCGACACCTGGCGCAGCACACACGCCGACAGACTCAAACGTCTCCGCTGTAACAGAGCATGAAGCCGCACGGACCCGGCAGGTAACGATATTTTAATAATTAAGGGTCGTCTTCTTTTGGACTAGCCACATTTAGCGCTGATGTCTTCAACTTATCCTCCGATGTGTTCACTTGAGCAGGAAAGGCCCCTTCTTCTTTACTCAACACCAGAGGATGCCAGAGACAGCGGCCCTGCTCCCTGTCGGTGTGGAGGAGTAACTGCCGCTGTTGCTATTTACAATACAGTACTACAGTATTATCAGAAGATAGTGCTTGAAATATCAGCAAACTGCTCATTATTTAGAGAGAATTGCAGCATTAATTATAATATTGGATTATTAAAACTCATGCATTAATGTGTAAGCAGTATTTTATCTGGTCTTTTAACCATTCGGGGGTGTTTCATTTATTATATAACAATGAATCATATTTTATATTCATTGTAAGTTTTCAAAATTGTAAACTGAAGAATAACTATCCAGTGCATTTTACTGCTGAAAGATGTTCAAAATGGTCAACGGTTCAAAAATGAGTGAAAAGACGGTTAAAAATGTCTTTGGTCAACAGTGATATAGGTTCAAAACTGAAAGTTTTTTCACCAACCGTTTGAAAACATTAATTAATCAATTACATTATATTATGATCCCTTTTTTAAATAGAAATCAACATTAAAATCCAGGTTGGTGTTCACTGGCTAGTAACTATAACTGCCATATTTAATGGTAATGGTGTAAAAAGTACAATACTTGCCACTATAATTAAGTGAAATGAATTATGGAGTGGCATGAATTTGATGTACTCATGTAAAGTACAGCTACAGCACCTTAAAATTCAGTGTAAGTACAGTACTGGAGTAAATGTACAAAATTACATTCCACCACTGAACATTATTATACATTAAACTACAGCTGCACCCCAGTCAGCTACAATATTAAAATGCTGCCTACATGTTAAGTCATAACAAAGAAATAAATCATAAAAATCATAAAAATAAAATTGCAAATGTATGAAATGGGCCATTCTTCATGATGAGATGTTTTACTGTTATTTGAGTACATTTCACACCATTTTTTTTATTTTAGTATTTTTACTTTTACTTAAGTAAATCATCTGAGTACATCTTCCACCACTGCTTTTAAGCAATAAACTTAATAGTATGAGGTTTGTCTTATCCTTACACATACGTTACACTGCATAAAACAGCATAAGAATCAATGCTGTGGTTAATTATTCACCACACACTCTTGTCTATGTGTGACAAATAGGCCTACGTATTACAGCAATAGTACTTCACATGATTAACAGCAGTTCCTACAGTATAAGATATTACATTTACAAAATTAATTAATTGTGCCATTAATTGTTGACATGCTTTTACTGTCTCCATTCCGCCATGGTGCATCCCTGTAACGGTGGAAATTCTGAGATTCCTGTTCAAATTATGTCATTGCCAGCAATGCAAGGCAATATTTGATTCTGCATAGTATTGGTGTAAAAGCAAGAGACTAATGTGATGGTTGAAGGACAGTAATTAAAGCCTTTATGACAGTATTAATAATGTAGTGTTATTAAAACAATCCCACCTCATTCAAAGAAGGAAAATGTGTCATGCGTACTCAATGGTGGTTGAAACTTGCTTATCTAATTTTTTCACATTTATTTTCCAATGGAAAAACCAGCATGACCTGTAGTGAGCACAATACAAATAGCATCAGGGTTTCCCAGATCACAGGCTCAATGGGGAAGTAAGTGTAGTTTCACAACTCTGTTCTAGCTGAGAGAATGCCTATTTACTAGCTGTCACCACAATGCCTTAAATACCACACTGTCACACCAAGACTGACCAAGAGAAAGCAATTTATTTTGGCTAATATCCCTATATGAACATGAAGTGAGGACCTATTGTTCAACTTGTCTTGCTGTGGGTATGTGTTTATTAAAGAGATACAGCTGAGTGGAATTTCCAGCCGCTCCACAGCCATTGTATCAGAGGGACCATCAGGAGGAAGCCACTAACATGAAAACAAAAGATAAACCTTAAAAAAAGCAGCTGAGAGGAAACAAAGAAAAGAACTGGGTTGTTTTTATGAAAGAGCTTTGTTATGAAGCCCGCTCATTATAGTTTACTGTATAAATTTGTGATGGGATCTATTTGCTCTAAGTTCTTGCCAGTCACACAAACCACAATAATGATGACTACGCAGACAATGTCCATTATGTTTGGGTGTGTACAGATATCATACACATCACTGATGACTGTAACCCCCCCCCCTTTACCAAGAAAGATACACAATATGCAGTTCGTTTTTTTCCCATTTTATTACAAAATAAATGAACTGCTTATGTTAACTAGACAAGCCAATGTAATTACACACCAAAGATCAGATTTCTGCAGATGATGGCTACAATGAGATAAATAGAGAAACCTGTTTCACAAAAGATCCTAAAAGATCAGAAAGATGAAGCTGCATTTTATGTTTTATTAAAGATAAGTGGGTTATCAGTTTTCTAAGAAAAAGCAGGGGTGTAATTAGTTTGTCTTCTCTGGACTGCAGGCACGATGAAAGGTCACATTCCCAGAGTTTCAGACACAGAAACATATTGTACTTCCATATCTATACAAAGGCAGTCAGCACTGATAAAGTTTGAGAAACTTTGAAACAAAGCAATTTGCATGTTCCTTCTCTAGCCATTAAAGCTAGATTAATATGATGAAGAGGTAGAATTTTTTATGGACACTGAACATGCTGATAGAAAGTTTGGCTCTCACAGTGAGGTGGCTTACAACCCCTCCAGAGGCATATGAAAAGGAGCAAAACAATTGAGCCAATGACTCAGAAACATTGATTTGTTTTATCAGTGCTCAATTAAGCAGAATCACTCTTTGTCAGAGGGAACTAGGATTTATACGGTGCGCATATTTGTCTACACAATAGATAAATATAGATCAAATCAGAGTGTACTACAAATAAAGGCACTATTCAATACAAACAGCGCAAATACAGCTATTTCAGAACAATTCCGGCCGCAGTGAAGCTCAAGACAATTTCAAAAATCTTATTTAGCCTATGATTCAGCTCAGAACTTCACACCGACCACAGACCTCCCAGATATCTGGATGTCATCAAAAGGAAATAGAGCCAGAATCTGAAAAACAAGGATACAAAAGGTCAAATTTTTATTAATGCCTTCTTTAACAATCCACTGCTGTCCTTGCAAAATGATAGGAAAAGCAATATGTCTGACACTTAGTATTCTTGTATTGTATTGCAGTATAGTTGAAGTTATGGAAGAGTGGGAACTTTAAGGATAGGGCTGGTGTCTACATTTTACTTGTCAACAGATCTCATTAAAAGGTCCAAAACCAACAATGATATTCTTCTATTTTTTTTAGGCTAACTCATTTTCTGAAACAGTTGGGCACTTAAGCTTTTAGCAAACATTTCTCCAAAAGGTGTAAATAGTGAATTTGTTGGGGACTATTTTTAAGCTGCAGATTAATACATAATTGATGCTCTGGTGAGTTTTTTCCTGCAACAGAACAGCGTATGTAGGACTAACACTACACTGGCAATAATAGTAATCATAATAACTTACATCATCATTGCCATCAGCCAGATCCAGTGCCGTCTCGTCCTCCATGTTTCGCAGCATTGTGTCGGCGCCAGACTGGCAGAGGAGGTTGGCGATGGTGGCGTCCTGCCTCCCCACTGCGAGATGCAGGGGTGTGCAGCCGTTAAACATGGCAGCATCCACATTGGCTCCCCTACTGAGCAGCAGACGCACTGATTTGATGTCATGCAGCTCAACGCCGAGGTGAAGAGCTGTTTTCCCACTGGTTCCTTCCTGTGAGGGAAAAAGACAACGAGAAAAGGCTTTAAATAAAGCCAGAGCTACACAAATGATACAACAATATAAAGTAGGTCATTTTATTTTTAATAATTTGTATTAGTTTGATATTTTTCTGATTGCAAGCAGCACATAGTAACTTCCAATTTAGCTTTCTGCAAGCATGGAAGAAAAGGACACAGATGTTCTCACAACAACAATAATAATATTATAATTAATGATAATAACAACAATAATTCAATACACAGCATGTGAGGCAGAGTGGTATTTAAGGCTGGTGAGTTAAACTGAGAGGAATGTCTGGGGTAGTTTTGGGACTGACCACCATGTTCCCTTCCTTCAATAGAAAGTTAAGATTGGCCGGCAAGTCCAGCGTTATCATATCTCATATCTAATTATGTCTCCATGAATCCTGCAGGAAGCTCAGCTCAGAGCTCAGCTTATATCACTATCAGCATTGCACAGGTGCAGCTGATTTATAGACATGAAAAACAACATCAGACCAGGAGCAGTAAACAGAGTCTGAAAGGGATAAGTGTGATTATAAATACTGGCACATTACTGGATGAAATGGAGTATACTGCAGGGTAACCCTACGCAGAGACTAATTAAACTTCTTTCAGATATGCAGCTGAAGTCTTGTGAGTAGCAGGTCGGAGTCGGTGTCAGCTTAGTGTTTGAATTCAATGAAAATTTGAAACTTATTCAAAGGGTTATTTTACAGCAAATTATATAAGGTCATAAAAAGTCAACCTTCTAGTGTGGGAGATGAAAGATTCAGTGTGGATTCACCCTTTAAGTAGAGCCTAGTTATTAAAAAGATAATCCATATAATGTAGCAAAATAAGGAGCCACCCACTTGACAGACTAACCTGGATATTCAGGTCCGCTCCCTTTTTCATCAGGAGCTTCATAATCTGATGTTGCCTGTTCAGTGCAGCCAAGTGGAGACAGGCAAGACCTGCAAGTACACATCTTGTTTGAAACGTGGAAACGTGGGGCTCATTTTAGGTCAAAAGTGAATAAGCGATGCATTGTGAAAACCATGTGTTTTTCCAAATGACAAACTGACACTATAGATCAACATGGTATTGCTTTTGCAAATTCACCACATCTGGCTAGGGTTACTGCTATTTCTTCTGTTCCAAAATGGTGCAAGATAGAAGGGTCACATTCTGCGAAATTATATTAGACTTGTTTCCTCTGATGCTATATTGGTTGAGCAATGTCAAGCTAGTTAATGCTTTACTTTGTGCTGCATTAAAGACAAGACTTGGCATAAAAGCACCAAAAGGCCATGTTATATTTGGACAGTGTAAAAAATCTGCAGTTGCATAATCTGGGAAGTTCAATCTAAGCAGAACCCACTGACAAATAATCACACAGATGATGCAGACACATAAAATGACCCTTAATAACAACAATGAATTGTTGGCTGATGAGACCCTGCAGCAGTTGGTTCCCTCACCTCTCCAGTTCTGGGTCTCAAGGATCGGCGCCAGTTTGCTAGGGGAAACATCTTTGGTCATCTCTCTGGCACAATCTGTCTGTCCGTGCTGGCAGGCCACGTGGAGTGCTGTGTTCCCATCCTGGTCCTGCAGCTCCAGGCTGGCCCCTTTCTCCACCAGGCTCCTCACCACATCTGTCAGGTTCAGATAGGTGGCCAGGTGCAAAGGGCTCTGAGGACCACGAAAAGACAAAAGATGTGTAATGCAATCAAAGCTGCACCTCTCTGGTTAAATTTAATAGCATTTATTTGACATAACGAGTCCAATTTTAACAATCATTTAAGTCATTTGTCAAGGAAATGTGAGGGTTTGATGCTTTTTATGATTTCTATCACTGTAGACTGACAAACAAAAACAATCTGAAGACGTGTTTCTGCCATATTTTACAAACAATTGACTAATTACTAAAATTTAAATTGGATTATGCAATAATGAAAATAATTAGTAGCTACAGCCCTGGTATGTTTTGTCTTTCACCCCTGCTACTTCCTGCATTTCTCAGAATGTCTTAGAGCAACTCCTAGAGAAACAGGCCTGTAGCTGTTGCATTCAGCTGTCGGTCATATGTATGAATGAAGAGAAATAAACACAAAACGTTTCCAAATGATAAAGTAAGACTTGCACCTTTTGTCCAAAAACAGACTTGTCTTGTAGTTGCACTGTGCTGTGGTGCAAGACACAACAAGAGTGCAGAGATGCATCATCAACTACTGTTTGTTTTTAATCAGTATGCAAATGTATGAAGTTTCTTTTAGAACCTTTAGGGGTAAACAAGAATTCTTCTGGGCAATGTCTCCAGAGACGAGGTCTTAGAATGACTACTGAGAGGAAATTAGGCAACCAAAGTGGACTCTAAAAGAGCACAGGGCCAACTGAGTCACTGCATGAAGTGCTGACTCTCAACTTCAGATGTTTCTTTATGACACCTCTGTCAGTCTACTCTGACTTCACTTTGGTTTCTACACGAAAAACCAAGACTCTGGTCTGACATCTTGAATAACTGGAACAATTCCTCCACCCACATCCACACAAGGATACACTCCACAGCTCCCTTTGGTTCTATTTCTACAGGAGGTAGAGGAGGGGAGTTTCCATTCTAAGTCCCTTATGAGCTAACACTAGAACCACCCACAGTGACGTCCCTGACAGAGGACGGACTGCAAATAAAGAGGAACCGCCGTTCTCTGGAAGTACAGAGATATAAATAATGCCACTGTTTCCACAATCAAGATACTGATAATGAGGAAGTCGTTTTAAATTGAAAAATTCCAGTGGAGGCTGCAGCATGCTTGTGTAGTGGAAAGATTTGTGTTGCATTTACCTGGTATAAATTGTTTTGGATGTCCAGGACTTCTTTTGGGAATAGCTCTATCAAGTGCTGAATGATGATATCGTCTTCATGGATGATTGCTAAGTGCAGGAATCTACAGGAGTAGTAAAAAAATACACATATTTCTTCAATATGCTTGCAGAAACTTGCAGACTGAATTTCACTTACATTGAGCAATTGAAAAACAGAAGAATTGAGTAGTGGAGAAAAAAAATGTATTTCAACACGAGAGAAAATGTTGCACAATTTTCCTCAGTATTCATCTCAAGAGACTATCTCGAAATCTAATACTCAGTGGGCTGAATGGCAAGATTGAGTGGTTGGGATATTGATCAATGCAAAAAAGATAGCATCACAAGCTGTTGAATTATGAGAGCGTGTTAAAACGCATATCAGTAGGCACATCTTTTCATGCTTTAGTGAAAACATTCACAGCAAACGACAAAACAAAACAAACACGCACTAACCTCAAAACCTGAGTGGGAAGTTGTAGCAATCAAATGTGTGCGAAAAAGCAGGAAATGGAACCGAGAATTTATGCTTAATTAAGACCAACCTTGAATGACACAGAGAGGGTCTCTACTGTAAAGGGTTGTAAATGGATTCAAATCAAAGTGTAGCTTAAATCTGTATATTCAATTATCAAAGGCTGAAACTGATGTCTAGTCACAAAAACAGCATGAGCATGAGGGATGTTGTTTTACTGTACTGTCAAACGCATGTTACTGTGGTCTCTGAAAGTTTAGACGTGATGCTCATCTTCTTTAAGAGTAAAGGTCATTTGACCAAAGGTTTGGTGCTGCAGACTTATTCAGAGACAGACAGTGTGGGATCAAACATTCAAACTAAATTTCAGTGCAGACCATCCATTCAGCTTTCTGCTTTGAACAAACCACTGACAATTTCAGATTTCCTGTTAAATGCTGTACATGTTAATATCATTTGTGCAAGAAAACCTCTTCTGTCTTTTTGAATTACATACAGCCTTGCAAAATTATTTTGATTTGATTAAATTACCTCAGTGGTTGGTTAAATGTTTAAATATGGTTATGTTATTTTCCATTAGATTTAAGAGGATGAAGCACTTGATCATTTGCAATTACTGTGCAATAGTTGACATATTACTGGTCCTTTTTTAACTGGTTGATCAATATAACCTATTTGTGTTGCATATGTGAGTGATATTTTCTCTTTTACCCCCCCCCCCCCCAAAAAAAAAATAGAAAAATAAAATAAATAAAATAAAATAAATTTTTACAAAACGCTTATTACTGACTGACAAAATGCAATTACATATATCCTTGTTTGAACTTTTAGGGCAAACGTATTTACTTATTTCTTAAGCATGATAAAATTCCTGTTAATCATTCAAAATGTGTTTGAAAATATTTCAGTGGGACACATAATAATTATGTAGAGGTTAGCATAAGGCAACTAACAACATGACTCATTCCTCATTCCTGGTGTACTGCAAACTTTACTATCAAAATAAAGATGACTTGTATTTTCTTGCAATTATTGCAACAAAACAACAAACCACCTTTTTCTGTGTAAGTGGCTGGGAAACATCTCTCTGACATGTCAAAGTGTTTTGTAAAAAAAAAGGGAGAACAGGTCATGTACAGCATCTGTGCAGTATATTACCAAACATAATATGAAGAAATTAAATGATTCATCTTTTAAGTTATTTTTCAAGCAATCGGAATATGTTGCTTCAGACTCTGGGAAACTGTTTTGGCATTTTTAGATGCAGACCTTAACTAAATCAGTGAGCTAAGATGGGCTACAAGTACCTTTATCCAAATTTGAAACACCCATAAAACTGGAAAAAAAACTGAACAAATGGAAACAAAAACAGTCTTCTCCTTAAAAATCTATTGTAAAAGGAGATTATTTGGTATAAATGATAGGATAATGCATCACACAATAAAGCATCATGATCGTTTTCATCACTGACTGATTTAAATGTCTGCAGCTAATGTATCTGCACAAGCACTTAATCAACTCTGTGAGCGAACGACTTGGTGTGAAAGGGACTTCCTGGTTTGAATAAGACTTGAATGAATAAGAACTAAAAAAAAATCCCACAGGGGAAAATTTATGTTTGCACGATTCTCTCTCAGTAGAAGCAGAACAGAGTGGTGTGTTTCAGGTGTTTTTTTCCCCTCTCAGGTGTCTATAGTTAGGGTGTGAGAATGAAACCATGTGTCCCCAACAATCAGCAAGCGGAAATGAAAAGAGGTCAGAGACACAACAACACTTCTGCAACGCTGTGACTGCATCAGTCGCTGGATTCCAGTCATGTACAGGAGTCATTAACAAGCCTGCTTCAGGGCTGTAACAGACTGATGACATGGCAACAACAGATGAGTGGGTCACAGAAGAAGTTCTGCATGGGCTGATAAATCTGTGTGTGGAGGATGGTGTGTTCCGGTTGTGTGCAAAAAGCTGCAGTTTCCTTGACTCAAAGTGAGAAAAGAACAGAAGCAAAAAGCTACTGGCAGGTAATATACAGACAGTTTTAGTCAGACATCTGGTTTGGAAAAAAAAAAAAAAGCATAAGAGGCAGCAGCAGCTTGTGGATTGTGGGATCCTGCAATAAAAAGATACCATGCATGCACAAACACACTATGCTATCCTGATCGACAAGTTTCTTGGATCAAAAGCAGGCCTCAATGCTGCCTCATAGCATGTGCTTTGTCTGTGCAGCATGGGGAAGTCCAGGCCTATCTGTTTCACTTCTGTTTTCTGGCTGAGAGATGCCTCACAGGAGTCCATCCACATTCATGACACGGACAAAGTTCATTAAATCGTCTGCAGTATCACACCGCCATGAAATCCCCTTTAAAACAAGAATCATGGGAAAAACTGTGCCTCAAATTCAGTGTGATTTACCAACTGCCACTGATGGGTGTTTTTAAATTCTTCATCTTCAGGGGATTAAAAGAATTTATGAAATGCTTCAAACACCAGCTGGGCTGAAGAGATCAGAGGGCAGATAATTAATCAGAAATCTCATCATCTCATCATTTTGAGCCATTTTCATGGTTCTCTGTATCCACCCTCTGAAATGTAAAACATTGCTGCTTTTAACGCATTGTCAATTGAATCTGGGTACTAACAGACGGTGGTAATTACAGTTAATATAATTATGCTCAGAGAGAAGGGGGTGGACAAGTTGAATATCACTTTACAGGGGCCAATTTAAAAACTCCTATGGTAAATTGAAGACTAAATTTCATCTTTTCCCCCCCAAGTTTTGCTCATTGTACGACACTGCAGACTACTTCATGACAGACCCAGCAAACGTTATTGGTGAAAACACTGGTCAAAATGTTAAGAGAAACGGTTAAAATGCCAGACACCACTTCTGAACCTCACCCACCAGTATGCAACACAGAAATGGTTTGCTTTTTTATGAGAAGTTTGGATAGTAAATAAAAACCTACGTGTCTCCCTCTTCAGTAATAGTTGTGAGCAAGTTCTCCTCCTGTTCAGAGAGTTCAGAGCTGTGTGTTTGCTCCTCCTGGTCGCCGGAAAGCGTGCAGCTCTCCACTAACTCTGTCAGACTCTCCCCCGTGATGGACGAGGAGCCGTAGGCAGAATCCAGGCGCTCCTCCACGGTGGAGAACTTCTCCCTCGGCCCGCTGATGTCCGTGCCGGGATCCCGGGGCTCCTCCGACTTCAGCATGGAGCGGTACGAGTCAATGCCCGAGTCTGTGCGGTTCTCTCCTGCGAATTCCAGCAACTCATCTTTACTACAGTCGTCCGACGCCATAGTGCTGCTGGTGCTGGTGGTGGCCTCGCTGGGTTTCCCCCTCCCTCCTTCCCAGTGGACTTAGAGGCTACTCGGGGTTGTTGTCGCCGCCCGGTGCTCGGTGATGTGACCGGACTCCGAGGATAGAGTGCTGACACCTGAGGAAACCACCGCTCCGTTGTGAAACCAGAGGAGTGAGCCGCTGCGTTTCATTCCACTGACCGATAATACATTACCATTCAGCTACGGACCTCCAGTTTTATTTAAAAAAAAAAAAAAAAAAATCGATTATAGACTGTTAAAAAAAAGTGTTTAAAAAGCTTTAAAACGAGGTACAGTCATCACAAACTTGGTGAAATGGGTTAAAAACAAGCAAAAAAGAGTCGTAACGGCTGCCCGTCGTCTAAATATCCGGTAACAGCAGAGCTCCAGGCTGAGGGCATATGAGCAATGAAAGGTAATAAGGGGAAGAGCTGACATCTGAAAGGGTAAGCTGTTTTTGTCAAGCGGGGGAATCCCCAGTGCGAACACACGAACACACACACACACACACACACACACACACACACACACACACACACACACACACAACTAGAAAAACGCGAATAGCGGAAGTGATGCTATTTTCAAAATAAAAGTGATAAAAAAAAATAATTTCTGTAAACGATACCATTCTTTTTTTCGTTTACATCACACCTACACATTCTGCCAATTTTACAACAATGCTTTATGGATAATTTATATGCTGAATCTAGTATTTTTTAAACTATCTATATTAAGAGGTGCCCTGTGCAACAAGGACCTAGGCATAGAAAAACAGCTCCATAGTGCTACTAAAGGTCAAACTCTCCACAGAGAAACTTTAAATATGACTAATTCCAAGCCAATATTCCTGATTGTGTGGAGAAAGGCATGGGATTCATTTTGTGTGTTAATGAAAACGCACAGAAAACTGGGATTGCAAACTATACAATTACTACAAATCAAAATTACTGCCATCCCAAAACATCACAAAGTGAAATGAAAAGAATGTGATTTGCTTAACTTACAGTTTCAGTGTGACTATATTGGCGGCCTTTTATTTTTGGTTTGCAATTCTCCTTTTTTCTCTGAACCTGGTCTTTACTGTAAATAGACAAATGTTCAAGGGTTCGAGGAGGCATTTAGATCTGAACAGCTAACTGAATAAATGAAACATTAATAAAAATCCAAATAACCTAAGGAAATTATTTTAGAGATCACAGACTCATGACCTCAATATTTCATAAATCTGAGCCAAGTGAAGTCTTGCGTCCTCACATATAAATTGCAGGTCAACTACAAGTCTTTCAAATCAATGAAGGCATGAATGACAGATTTTTAGTGGTTTTTTTTTTTTTTTTTTTTTTTACATAGACCAAGACATTTTAATGCATATGCTTCATAATTAAATGCTGAATCTGTGTGCATGTAGTTTCATTTTATTTTTTTTTTATCATTCTGGGATCTTACTAGGTTTTTCATCTCAAGTAAGTGAAGTCTCACATGCAGCCATGTTCATCTGTTCACCAAAATACCACGACAAACTCTCTTACATGTCCCTTTGCTGCACTGTATTCCCCAAAAACACGCTTTCAACAGACGTGAGTTTTATTTTTAAAGTCACAACAGGAAGTCTTGTTCCTCACAGCAGCAGGTTTGTCACTGGCAGCAGCAATAAACTGCAGACACATTATTATTCATGGGATTTTTGGCCTTTGTCTGAGAAGCTACAAAACCTGAACTTGATTCACACACGTCTGACTAATTTAATGTGACTGTGACACTGAATATTCATTAGTGCTGAAGTGTGTGCTGTGGACTCATGTGTAGGGTGACAGGAAGTGTTAATCCACACTTTGAAATACAGTATAACATAACACCACAATATTTGTTTCACATAGCCTACTGGTGTGGCAGCTCTGTATTTCCATTGACATATTGAAACAATAACTTAATTTATCTCAATCAATACGTGATAAAATAATACATTTGTCCAGCATTTTCTGTCTTGGGCCAAGGCTTGTAATGCCTGTAAGCAGGGTTTAATGTTATAATTCTGACCTCCCAAATATTCAGGAGTAACCCAGCTATCACTTCTTATTTCCCTTTTCTATTTTGGAACACGCTTGTTGTGGTTTGGCCTTTAGAGGGCTCACTCACACAGCTACTGCTCTCTGCTTTGAGAAAACCAGATTCATCATAAATACAGTTAAACAATAGTGACTGTCAGAGAGAAACCTTTACTGCTGCCAAGAGCTGCCATCTGTTTTCATGTCATCTACTGTTATGTTTACTTATTCCATTTTGTGCCAGCAGTCCAGTCCAATGTCCATACTGTGGCCTATGATAAACAAAGGCCTGTGTGCCAGGATTATAAGGTAAATGGTTCATGTTTAAACAGTGGTGTTACAATGGAAGGAATGGGAAGAATGTAAAATATGCTTTTATACATCCTTAATCTTATTATTGTATTTCTAAGTATTTATGACTGCGCCACCCTCTGCTTTCCCATAACAACTCATTAAAGCTGTGCCAGTTGTTGCCACTTGTCCCTCTGGCCACAGTAAGTCAGTCATAGTAAATAAAATCAGATAAACATTAAATTGGACCATATTTCAGTTCATCGCAGCCTTTTGGATTCATCTCAGGAAGTGAGATCTTTTGTGTCAGGAGTGAGGAGATTATGACTGATTGATTGATTGATTGATTGATTGATTGATTGATTGATTGATTGATTGATTGATTGATTTGATTGATTTGATTTGATTTGATTTCCAAACCCAAACCCAAGTGTTTCCATAAATGTGTGTCATCTTGGTAATTATTTTTATGACAGGAAAATTCGACCTGGATAACTTTTAAGAGTTCAATATAGAAATTTGCTGCCAAAATCATCACACACTTTTTTATAAACTTCATTTGTGACACATGAGCTTAAAGATATCTACACTCTGTTGTGAAGCATAGAGCGTAAAAGCATAAAGAATTATCTTCATAACAAAATGGAAATATGTTGATGAGAGTTGAACTTCACTAACCTGAAGTATAAAATACATTACTGAAAGAAAAACATATACCTTAATTTCATAAACTACTCATACCTTAAATCTCCCATAGGCCCTACTTAGTTCTACATTTTATGTGCTTTTAATACTGAATATATTAATGTTTTGTCTTAATGTCATAATACACAAACTATGGTCAATCAAAACATGAAGATCATAAAATTCACAAAATTATTATTGCACTATATGCATTTACATTGTTTTCCCCTATGTAGTGTGTCTGTGGTGAGTTTATTGACGAGATATAATGGTTTGTTTTTATCTATAAAGAAATAAAAGGTCAAGACTATTTACCTGTATGTTTCTCAGTAGCTCTTTTTGATTATTTTTTCCTACTATTACAGCCTTGTACAGGAATATAATAATCTTTTGGTGCATAGAGACAAGGTCATGCAGCTAATGGGATGCAGGGGGTGGGTTCCTCTGTGCAGCACCGCCTCTGTGTGCGGTTGTGATTTACTTGAAGTGGGATGTGTGTGTGTTATTTACATTGTTGTGTCGGGGTGGCTGCTCACACGTGCCGCTGCCTGTCGTCTTTGTCCTGCTTCACAGCTTCGCTGGCTGCCATGGGCACTGCCTACAGGGAGAGGAGCTGTCTGCCTGCCTTTGCCATTTCCTAACATTGCATCCCTTGCAGCATTCTTCATCAGCATCTAGGCATTGCATCTCGGAAGGAGTCTCTCAGTCTATTCTGATTCCGTGGTCTTGTGAGGCACAATGAGCGGATTCCCGTAGGCTATACCCAGCGACGTCTGCCCACCTGGAAGACGCTGGGATGGTGCGTCTTTTGAGCGTTTCCATTTGGGCTCCGAGTGAACTGGTTTCTTTTGGATGATGCGCAAAGGGGTTCTCGGTGTGTTTGTGTTCCAGTGTGATTTGGAAAACCCCTATCCCAACAGGAGATCCATGCCCCGGTTTTTGTACCGTTTTCATCATCATGTCCCCAGCATCGGCTGCAACGGCCAGTGAAAGCAGCACCACCACCACCGTCCCCGAAGAGGAGTCAGACAGCCCCCGAGAGGAGGTAAGGAAACACTGTTTGCAGTGTGGAGGCCAATTCCCTTACCCTAATGCATGTGGAGCAAATTCAGCCTTTCATTAGTGTCACAGATTTCATTGATATTACAGTGGAATCACAATAATCTCACTATAATAATCATAATTTGCAGAGTAGGGTTTAATTGGAGCCAATGTACATGCAACACATGGGAATTACAGTATGTTACAGTAATTGTACTTGTGGGCTAATATACAGTAATGCATATGAACCTGTGCGTCCGAGCGCGCACCCGAGAGTGTGGACGTGCATGCATGTCCTCCCGGTTTGTCTCCCCTCCAGACAAGTGGTTTCCAAAATGGGGTTCAGGGACTTCTTGTGGGTCCTGGAAAAGGTCCAAACGGGTCGTCAGGAAAATGATGCTGTTACAGTCAGAGAATGTGAGAATGGGCTGTTTTGTTCAAATGTTTCCACAGTTATTTTCCCACAAGAAAACTCCTCGCGGGAACTAAATCTGTGTGGGTTTGTTCCAGATAGTGAGTTATACACTCTCTGAGGGCAAATGTGAAATGTTAGAATAACTGACCATATTTTTTTGTTTTGATGCCACTAAAACAGACTTTTTCTTTGCCTGAGTAACAAATGTAATCCTTTTTAGTAATCAGAAGTCTTTACTTTCCTGTCACTGTGTAGACTTCCCCTACAAACACACATGTTGGACAAGTTACATGTCCATTACACAAGAGGGTTTTTATGTAACCTAGCTGCTCTTATTATGTCAAGAGAAAGTGTCCATGAGTGTGAGAGGCACTTAGTTAAAGGCACCACAGTGGTCCCATAAATTGTGACGCTTCTCAACTCTTAAAGGTTCTGACTGGAACATTTGTTTTCTAAAATACTGATCACGTTTCTTAACTGGCTGTTTTATGGATTTTATACTTCTTAACACAACAGCTTTCATTTGTCTCTTGTGCCTTTTGTTTTTAATAGATATTTTCATGTTCAAGTGCTCATATATTATAAGCTACATGTTCTCTGTATGTTTATAGTTTCTTTTTAAAGCCTGAATGCAAATTGTTTGTTTTCTTGTGTGAAAGGACTATAAAATACATACAACACAACTAGTATCAGTGCTCACACTTGTCTGAGCAAAGAATATAATGATACAGGCTCAGAATAAGAAACTTCAGAGGCTTTTTATACCATCTTACACCATATTTGTGTAGAATACAAATCGACATTGTTCCAATTTAGAGGCAGATGTTAGATCCAGGAGAACACATTGAAATCATATTGTAACCAATAAATGTACTGATATTTTTTTCTGCTTCACCAAATCCATGTTTGGAATCAAAAAATGCATCTGTCTGCATCCCTGCATGACAGATACATGAGGTTTGCTCTACCTCTGAATAAAAGGTCCTTCTTGCTAACCAGACAGGCCAGAGGAATTTCTTTGTCTAATGTGTTCAAGGTGTCAACACCACTGTGTTCATGTGATGAGTCACTTTTCTGCTATGCATAGGCCTAATGAACATCTCTGTTCTGATCTCAAGCGGGGCCTTTTCAACTGAAATGTCGTATGTTGCAATAGAATAATAATGATGATCTTGTTAGCCACCAGCTGTCACTGAATCTGTCAGTTCGCCTAATGATATTATTCTTCAGGTGAAGGGTGAAGCTTGCTCAGTTGAATTTTTGCGCGCGACACCTTGATTTACATGTCTACACGTCTCTGTACATGACTGCTGTTTCAAGGTTTGCTTTAATTTAACCGCACATTTATAATAAAAAAGCTGCAACATAAAGGTACATTTGCGTTCCATATAAATGCAGGCACATTTTTGCTTGACTGTTTCACATGCAGAATGCTGTTTCCTGCCACACAACTGTTCATCATTATTCCAGCTGCTTAAACAGAGGGCTGTAAAATGTAACATGAGCCACAAAGTATGTCATGTTGTATTGATTATGGTTGTCAAGCGTGCACAGGATACTAGTGAGTAAATACCCCTCCTGCAGTAGGTTCATCTCAAAGGGGAATTTCAGTGTTAATCCCTTTTGCACCGTGGGGTGTAACCTTGGGTTGGTAAGGGACTTGGGGAACCATGTGACCAAGGTGGGGAAGATAATTATGGAGAAAGAACATCTATTATTTACGCTCGTCTGTCACTCGTAGAGCCACAGAGCTGATGTGTTGAATTCAATACATCAATGCAGTGGTGCTGGTTGTGTGACTGTTGTGGTCACTCATATGTAGGGGCTGACCTATGGGCTGTCCTATGTGATATATGTTTTTTAATTGAATCAGTGCTGCTACAATACAATCCTAAGTGTTGGATGTCTATACACAGCAGCCTCTGCCTTAGTGTGATGTGTTATGCAAATTTTTTTGAATGAATTTTGTTATAATCCATCTTTCCTGGGGCTTTTGAATCTCTGCCAGGTTTGTGTAGCTGTGTTCCCAAAAGGCGTGACTAGCTCTTGATGCAGGCAGTGGGGCTTGCTGTGCCCGAAGTGATAAAGGATGGCACCAGCTTTATGCTGCCAGAGTCAAACAACTGCTGTTTTCTGGCTGGCTTGACATTAAATGTTGGGTCTACCCCTCAGAATATTTCCATTCTCTTACTCCTTTTTTTTTTTTTTTTAACTCTCAGATATCATATTTATATAAACAGAGGTAGCATTTGCTATGTGCACACCCACACACCAGTGAACCAGAAGTTCACAGGGCTATTCACTGAAAACAAGGTGTATAGGTAACATTGAACTTTTGCATTAATCAGACATTTTTCTTGAATTTGATTACACATGTGAGGGGGTCTTTTGATCATAACAAGCACAGACCAAGACTTGAGAAATTGGCTCACAGCTCATGCATAAACTATGCAAAAGCACTTACAATGCAGAAAATTTACTTAAATATTTTATATGTGGGCCACTGCTTTTTAACTCTGTCTAACTTTATCTCTAACAGATTTTTAGGTCATACTCATTTTTATCAAATGAATCACAATATTATATTAAAAATGTGTAGTGGTTCCTCATGGCTTTGATGTTATTAAGTATTTTGTCACACACACATTCGTTTTGTTAATAATACACAAAGATGTACCATTTACTTCTAGTCGAGAAATATACAGTATTTTTCTAGTAACATTTTTCTGTTTTCTCATCTTGTAGCAGCGGCCCCAGAAACAGTCCTTGACTAAATCCTTGTGTCAGGAAACCCATTGGAAATGCCTGCTGCTGTCCCTGCTGATGTATGGCTGCGTCGGGGTGATGGCCTGGTGCCAGGTGACCAAGGTCACACGCCTCTCCTTCGACAGTGCTTACAAGGGAAAATCCATGATGTACCACGACAGTCCCTGCTCCAACGGCTACATCTACATCCCTCTGGCCTTCCTGGTCATGCTCTATGTGGTCTACCTGGTGGAGTGCTGGCACTGCTACACCAGGAATGAGCTGCAGTACAAGGTGGATGTGGACACTGTAGCCGAGCGCATCCAGCGAATGCAGCAAGCTACACCCTGCATCTGGTGGAAGGCCATCAGCTATCACTATGTGAGGAGAACACGGCAGGTGACGCGCTACCGTAACGGAGATGCATACACCACTACACAGGTGTACCATGAGCGAGTCAACACCCACGTGGCTGAGGCGGAGTTTGACTATGGGAACTGTGGGGTTAAGGACATCTCAAAGCACCTGTTGGGCCTGGAGGGCTTCCCTATCACCAGGCTGAGGTTCACTAAGTGCTTTAGCTTTGCCAGTGTGGAGTCAGAGAACTCCTATCTGACCCAGCGGGCCAGGTTCTTCACAGAGAATGAGGGTCTGGATGACTACATGGAGGCCCGTGAGGGAATGCATCTGAAGAATGTAGACTTTAAAGAGTATATGATTGCCTTTTCTGACCCCAGTCACCTCCCCTGGTACGCAACTAACTCCACTTTTTGGCTGGCAGCTGCTTTCACCCTCTCCTGGCCTCTGCGGGTGCTGACAGAGTACCGCACTGCTTGTGTACACTACCATGTAGAAAAGCTGTTTGGTTTTGACTATGTGCCAGCAACACCATCTGAAGAGCGGCCGTATTGCCGACACATCCCAAGAGTCAACACAATCGACAGCACAGAGCTGGAGTGGCACATCCGCTCCAACCAGCAGCTGGTGCCCAGCTACTCAGAGGCAGTTCTCATGGACCTGGCCCAGCTCTCAGGGAGCTGTAACAGCTACTCCGTATGTGGAGGCTATGGCAGCTACAGGCAGAACTGTGAACGCTGCCACCGTGCCATCAGCAGCTCCTCCATCTTCTCTCGCAGCGCCCTCAGCATCTGCAACACAGGGAGCCCTCGCATCCCCTTTAGCGCCAGCCGCTTCTCACTTGGCCGCTTGTACGGCTCCAGGCGGAGCTGCCTGTGGAGGAGTAGCGGGAGCCTGAATGAGCAGTCCTGCCCCACAGAGAGCACGCGCTGTCTGTCAGGCCAGCAGACCAGCGAGGAGAACCCTCCAGCCTATCAGGATGCTCTGTACTTCCCAGTGCTCATTGTACATCGCAACGAGGGCTGCCTCAACCACGACCACCACTCCCTGCACAGAAACGGCTCCTGTGTAGAGACCTCACTATGACCCACGGCTGCCACACTTGTCTGAGCAAAGAATATAATGATACAGGCACAGAATAAGAAACCTCCTAACTCCTGGGTTAGGATAATAATGATTTCTGCTTCTCCCTTTTACTACTACAAGCTACCACAAACAAGGATGTGTTCAAGTTTCTAAAGGTACTGTCGCCTCAAACAAACAGAAGGAAAAGTATGTCTGGGAAAGTCCTTACAGTACACTTAATATGTCAGGGAAAACAGACTTGATGGTCTTGATGAGACTGTTGTTTAAAATGCAATGCGGCTTTAAAGGACCATACTGCCAAAGTGTCAGCGTACAGCGTCAATAAAGAGTCAAATAACCAAGGAATACTAAGAGGAGTCACATCCTACTGTAAATGCCATATTTGTAGATCTTAGTCACAGACAATTTGCAAGGACATGAGTCAACACGTTCTAGTATTTGGAGCCTAAAATGGGTTCTGACTCAATGGTAGCATAAGAAATTGCAGAGACATGAAAGGGATATGACATTTAATGAATGAATGAAGAAATTAAATTTTGATAAATGAATTGACACACACATCATGTGAGTCATGTGAATTGGGCAAATCATGAGGGAAGATGCAAAGATATCAGCCTTCTTATCAAAGCGTAAATAACAAGACTAATAGTTTTGCTAAAATAAACTACGTCTTACAGCTCTTATAAAGTGAAGATAACTTGGGCCCGAATATAAAATGTAAACATCTGCAAGTAAAACTTTTTGATACTGGGTGATTTAAATCAGTTCATTCAAAGTCAATGCTCATGGAAATCCTCTAAAAAAAAGGAACACATTTCCATAGCATAAAAATAAGTGTCTGATACAGACGCCAAAATAACCAGTTAGCTGAAGTCAGCTTGGTTGCAATGACATTATACTTCTCGGCTTGCTAAATATAGTAACACAGTCGATGAATAATTTAGCACAGGAAGGCTAAAGGACACGAGAACATCAAACTGAATGAACAACACTTCTTCAAACTGTTTCTTATTCACTGTAAACTGTACATTTTGTATAATGGCCAACTAGATAGTAATAAACCTCACCATAATATTGATAGATCTGTGTCACCTCAGCTAGTTTAAAATCTCAAAGATCAATTTACTTTCATATTTGGCAATATTTTTTATTCTGCCTACCTCTTTATTTAAGTGCCTAGCGATCAACTGTTACTGACAGGCATAAGCTACCATAACTTAAATCATCTCATCTCTTCATCATCCTATTTAAACAAGTGAAATTTACACTCATAATAGAACATGGTGTACAATGTACAGGAGAAACATGTTGTATTACCTGATGTTATTACTGTAGTTAAGATACAAAACGTCCTAAGAATCAGACCCTAAATATTCTGCAGATGATTTTGTTCATAATGTAACACAGCTCTTATATAGCCAGCTCTGTGCTGCTACTGATGCTGCTGCTGATGCATATCAGAGAGACAGCCAGAGAGCTGGCCATCAAAGACGCTAGAAATAGGCAGAGGCCTGGATTCACTACTGATAGTGTCAGATTTAATAATATAACAGGATTACTTTAAAGAACTAAAAAAATACTTCCTCTCAACTGAGTGCATGTAGTTTCTTAGTCATGGTGAATTTTGTTTTACAGCCAAGCCATGCACAAAAATAAATGTTTAAAGAGAGCTAAAAATCATTCATGCTAGAACTTTTTGAAAGAGGTATTGGTAGGAATTAGCTTCAAAAATGCAACAACTCAGCCCAGTGAAAAACAACTCATCATTCAAAGTGTGCTTTATTTCCTCCATTACTCCTCAACATTTATAAATGGTTGTTTAGTTCTACTTTAATGGATGAAAATAAGCACAGAGCTCATTCAAGAAAACAGAAGTGTTTATTTACGAGCCAGTCATCATCTCATAAGACCCGCACTGAAAGCTGACCTGGCATGGATTGTTGGCAGAGCATTTTCTGCCATTAGGACCATCCGAATCATTGAATTTCTAAGAATAGTGTGAATCTTTCCTGTGGTCAGACATTTTGTGTTTCTTCCTGTTACGACTTGTCTTCACAATAATGGGCTTGTACTGTAAATTGTGACCAACTAGCCATACTCATTACATTCCATGTGTGGTGGTAGGTTTGGAGTTGTGGACTATCTTTATAGCAATACTAGCAAATGCACTGAAAATAGTCAAAGGAAGTGAGACATGAAAAAATATATAGATTCTATCAAACCTCCCATTTCATTCAACAAATGAGTTTCAAAGAAAAACAGTCTGTAAACTGTTTTAACCTGTTTCCGCAACTCACAGGTCATCTATGCAAGCCCCTAAAACTCAGGATCGTATTAAGGGCAAGGATTCTGCTTGCAACAACATCCCACAACTTGGTCATTGTTTCTTTTTCTCAACTTTAGGTTTACGCAGCTATGCAGACATTTCAGTTTGATCTGGTGTTTGCAAGGATCAGCTGCAAGGATCAGCTGTGTAATAACTCTGTCGAAGGGGTTTGTAAACACAGAACCAACCTGTCATAACTTTACTAATGTTCTCATTCCAGGAACAGGAGATTGTTAGAGATTTGTTCCTCGGGTTCTTCCAGGACTTTGGTTGCACCAGCCATTTGTACTTTCATCACTTAGTTTGTGTGCTCTTAGTAACTACCAGTTAGTCTCAAATTAATGATTTACTAAATCGGGTTGCACCATTAAAACGTAAGGACTGTCTTAGTTGTCAAGTCACTGAAGCATCATGAGCTATAAAATAACTTCCAAATGTTTTAGGGTGTCAGTTTATGTATTAAAATTAAGTTCAAGTAGAAGCTGGTAATTATTGATTCAAACATTATGGAGAAATATGAGTTTCAAGCTTAGTAGTATTAATGTACTTTACAGTGAATTTGTACATAAGAACTACTTGATATAGTGCAATCCATTTTAAATGAGTGAAACGTAAATCTCCATTTAGTGAATACTTGCATGATGAATAAACATAGCCAAATCTGAACTTACAAACAGCAGGTGCAACCTGCTCCAGGTCCTGGAGTTCGTAGCACTTACTGTGTACATTGAGATCTCTTTACTGTTATTAAATCATTCGACAGTTTGGTTTATCTTAGCATAAAGACCAGAAACAGGGAAACAGGCTAAGCTAACTGGCTGCTGGCTCTAGCTCATATTTAATGGGCAGACCTAAAAGTGGTCTCAATCTTGACATCTAATTTATCAAGAAAGCAAATAAGAAATGTAAAACTAAATGGTTTATAGGAGATACACTACGCAGCCTTTTTTGGCCAACATGCCAACATTTTTTTTAGCTAGCAGGAAACCAATGAGACATGGACTGAAATTCATTCATTAATTCATTCAGTTTCTTTAGCCAGAGTCATGAAGGGTTCATCATATCCCAGCATGCATTGGGCAGAAGGCTGAAAATCAGGAGGACTTGCATGTCCTTGTATAGTAAAGCCCAGAGGACATGACAAACAGCAAACAAAGAGCATGCAAACTCCACCAGGGATTGAAATGTCCTGAAATGTCGATTTACTATCCCACTTGTAGGAGGCGAAGGTTGAAGGGCAAATGTTTCATACTGAAGTCACCACATATTCTCATTCATGATTAGCCAACAAGCCTTTCGGATGGCTTCACTGTGATATTCATACAGAACAGAAAAATGTGTTTACCAGTGCAATGTTTACGTAACAATAGTCACAAAAAACTATCTGGGGTATTGACAATGGTTATAAATCTGACTGGAAGTTTCATAATGACATTTTTCCTCCATAGATGACTGTTAGCATAAACGCTTTTGTCATGCAAAGCACTGAACCCTTTATCATGTTTATTAAGTAGGTTAGGTTATGATATGTACTCTTTCACTCAAGAATGCTCTGGGGCTCTTTTTTATATTTAAATAATTTTGTGGATTTTCAAGACTGTAGGACGGAAAGGCTTTGTACTGTAAATAAAATAGAGACAAGCGGTTAGAATGACTGTCGATGTGGATCTTGTGCTTAGATGAATGTGTCACACACACTTAGAGGTAACCGGAGCAGGGACATTTTTGATGTGCAGATGTGAGAGGGTGAGTTTGTTAAGTTACAAATGGCAATGCAATCCCTTTTAAAATGCTACAGGCAACGCAGCCAATAGCATCTTTGTGCTGCTTTAAATTGATCTGTCTGAATGATTTTTGTTTAATTTCAAACCCATTTTTACATTTTTTAAATTATATTTGATACACCTTTATTTAACAAAAAATGCACACACACATGCAAGCATAAACACATATGGCACACATATTTTTAAGGGAAGGTTGAATGATTGTTGAAGGTTGCTGATCTAAAGACTATCAGTAATCATAGACTGGTGTTTGTATTTTTTGCTGAATTAGTCCACCATGAACCTACAGAATAGCTTTGCTTCTCTTCTTATGATTCTACAGAACTAGTGATCTTTGAAAGGTCAAGAATTGGGAAAACATTGTGACATTAATTACACTTAAATTTTTTTTTTTGGTGCCTAGCAAAGGTGTTACACTATTAACCAGTAGATATAGGTAAAAATAAAAAACAACGCAAGACTGTATGTATTCCAACACCACCACAACGTTGCCTTGATGTTACATAATGACTGAATACCAAATCTGTGTATCAAAATGACAAAAAAAGCTCCTCAATAAATTGAAATGCTCACTAAAATATGTGTCAGAAATTACTTACAAAGATTACTGTGATGCTACACATTTTGCAAACTGGCTTAATTAAGGGTCTATGTCTTAATATGTTAATGTTAATATATATAATGACCGTTTCACGTTTTGTTTCGAGTTATGCTCCACTAAACACCTGAAAATAAAAATGTTTTTAAAGGATAAATTTGTCAATATTATATATGATTTTTACTCAGCAAATCCCATTAAAAGACCAAAACCAATATGTCGGTCTGTGTCTCAATCTCTCAATACTTTTCTGACATCCCTAACCAGTCTGTGGTGCTCAGAACAAACTAGATACCAGAATCTAAATAGAAGAAAGATCTTATATTTTTTGAGTTTTAGATTAAATTTGGTTAAATTTATCTATGAACTTTGGCATACAGTGCTTTTGAATGAATACACAGGTCAGGGATCAATGACTAATAAAGACTGGTTTGTATTACAAAGAGTAGCTGTTGATGTCTACTTGGTTTTCTTCCCTTTAGCTTGTTTCTTTTGTTCTAAACTCTGGTTGGTCCAAGCCACCTGGTTAATGAAGGAAACGATGTGCTCATCAACCTCGGTCAGGCGGATGTCACATTCTGTGACGATGGTGTTGTGAGACATCGCCTTCTCCAGAGCTTTACCTCCATCCTGCACACACATGCACGGGGACAGAGAGAACAAACAAACATATTTGGCACTGATGTATGTCTATGTTGAACACATCACAGGATGTTGTTTCTAAAAGGTCTGAATAACAATCTTGATAACCTTGAAAAATCACCCCTAAGCAACTTTTGCTGTCTGAAATAGCGTTTACTTTCTAAACTGCTTATTGTGTTTTTGTTTATTGAGTGTCAACAGTATTTTGTTGTTATGTCTGAAACAGGCATTTCTATTTTTGTGAAAAGAGTGGATCAAGGTCAAAGATATTGATGGTACTGCATGTTGCATTTCTGCTATGTGGGTGATTTTTGATCCTCTACAGTGTATTCCAGTCAGAGATACATTATCCAGTGAAATCCCGAAGAGGAGAAAGCATGAGAAGGGGAAACTCAGATCTACCTCTCACAGGGAAACAACACTTACTCAGCTTTCCATTATTGCATGTTTTCCACACATAACTATGAATACTTGAAAATCCTTGTACTTCAAAGCTTCTCTGTGTGTTTACTTCACTGTATTGTGTTTGTGCAGGCACCAGCATGCTTTGTTAATGTCAGAAAGTAGTGAAAATATCCGTCAAAATTTCCCAGGACCCACGTTTACATATCCAAATTTCTTCTTTTGTCTGACCAACATTCTAAAACCACAAAATATTTAGTTTATAATCATAGAAGACTAAGAAAACCAGCAAATGTTCACATTTTAGAGGCAGGCACCAGTGAATTTTTGGTATTTTAGCTAAATAATGTATGAGTATCACAATTGTTACAGATCATTTCAGCCACACATGATCTCACAATACGGGATTCTTACAAAACCTATGACTAAATTCCTTTCCTCTGGCATCATCCTCAGCTCAAGCTCACCATGTTTTGCCTGCCTAGCAGTAATGATCTAAGAATAGTGATATTGTTTTTCATTTTTAATCGCTGCAGCAGTTTGTTTTCTGTTGTGTCATGAGCATAAGGATATGTGAGGAGACAAATTCATCATGACTGCCTTACTTACCTCACCCAGGCTGTTGCAGGAAAGATTGAGGCTTTTCAGGGTTTGATTCTCATCTAGCACTTTAGACAGAGCGATGGCAGTCAGCCCTGTCACCTCATTGGCTCCCAGGTGCAGGTGACGGAGGGTGTTGTTGTTCAGCAAGGCCTTACCTATGGCCTGGCCTCCCTCATCTGTCAGACGGTTGAGACGCAGGTTGAGGGACAAAAGAGTGGAGTTCTTGGACAAGCCATGAGCTATTGCTTTCGCCCCTGGGTCTCTTATATCATTGTCACACATGTTCAGGATCTCCAGTTTACTCCTGGTGAGCAGCTTGCCGATAGCTCTGGCTCCTCTGTCTCCGATCAGGTTGTGAGAGAAGTCAAGCTCCCTGAGGGATGGGTGGTCCAAAAGGTGTTTCACCAGCAGTCTGCACTTTTTATCCTCAATGTGGCTTTCATGGAGCCTCAGAAGCTGTAGAAACAGTATAATATGAGGATTAACAAGAACTGAACCATTCGGAGCACATATAAGATGTTAGAGCATTAGCCTCGAAAATAGCTGGTTGTGTGAATTCTTTATATTGAGAACCTGCCATGTGCATAAATATAACTTTCCTGTCCTCACCACAAAACACTAAGAGACTATGCGTTATATAATGTAACATAAAGCAAGTAAATGAAAAGAACATCAGTTAGTCCTGAAAATGATTTGTTAATTAATTTACTTGATTGATTAATAAAATGAAATTGAAGTAGTTAAGTCATTTATCAGGCAAAAATGACAAGCTTTCGTCATTTCTAGCTTCTAAGATGTGAAAACTTGCAGTTTTTCTCCGTTTTATATAATTGTAAATGAAATATCATTGGGTTTTGGACTGTTGGTCAGACAAAACAAGGAATTTGAATATTTCACCATAGGCTTTGTGCAGCTGTAATATGCATTTTTATTCATTCCTGACATTTTACTGACTAAACGATTAATAACAATCAACAGATTAATCAATCATTAATTGCAGCCCTAATATCAGCTCCAATAATCATATACAGTAAATAGTGTACAGTTTCCCTATCATGCACAGAAACCAGTAGCAGATATATGCCAGGTTTTCATGCAGTAATAAATTCATGTGACAAAACTGCTGCGTCAAATAGTGACTTATTTAGGTTGCAGCCAGAGGCTCTGCTGTCTTTTCTTTGATGTAAATAGAGCATGCATTTAAGGTTGTGCCAACAACAATTTTCCTGTTTCATGATTTTGGGGACGTTTCTGTAAATAACCCTTTTTAGCTGGCAAGAAAGTCAGGAGCGCTGAATTACAACATGCTCCAGACAATCAAGCTCCATACTTTGCAAGGATGTAGAACTAAAAGAGGCAGCATGCCATAAACCACTGAAGAGGAATTAATATTCACCTTCAAAGTTTTACAGGACTTAAGGGCCTTGGCGAGGGATTCACAATCTCGGTCAGTCATCTCAAACATCTTCCATTCAAAGTTCATACCACATTGTTTGACCCTGTACACCAAATGGAGCTCCTCCAGACTTGTCAGCTTGTCAAGCAGGATGCTAAAGTTAAAGTGGTTCAAGGGTTCATCATACTCAGTGTTGCTTGCCAACTCTGAGCCATACTCCTCTTCCTCATTCTGGGGCTCCTTTATAGGCGGCAACAGCTGGGAGATATCCAACCTCTTGACGTAGTCTTTACAGAGTGGGACAATCTCTAGAACTGTCTTTGGCTCTGTGACATCTGGAATAAAAAGCTCAATAATGCTCTCCATGTGCCTCTCAAAGAACATTCGCTTCCAGCTATGGCCATAATGTGAGACATCACAAAGGTCCCACCGTTGCTCACAGCACCTCTTCCAGTAGACGCCATCACTGATCAATTTGGCTGTCACACGCAGAGGCAGGGAAACAGATAATTTCTCCTGAATGAAGTCTCTATGGATGGGTTTAAGTTCTTCAAATATAGGCTTTTCTGTAAAAGGTTTAAGATCTACAGTCAAGTTCAACTTATACAACAGGTGAGTGTGTAAAAGGATATATAATGATGCAGCTAAAAACGAAAACATACCCTCAAAGTTTCTCACAATGCTTTGCAGGCAGAGGTTTGATAGACAAGGCACTATAACCAGGGACCAGTCTAGATCTTCAGCAATGATCCTCCTCATAATTCTGCAGTCCTTAGGGGCCTTGAGGTTGGACCCAGAAGGATAAGGGGACTTCGACATTATTGCAGAGGTTTTGTGGACTATTTTGGCAGCTCCTCTGTTTAAAAAGAAGACACAAATCACAAATTAAAAGTTTCACATGCCAGCAATTGTAGATAGATTCTTGCTTACGTTTTAGGTATTTTAAAATGACGGTAAAATGTTAAAGTGTTAATCCAATTAAAATATGGGTTTAAGCTAACGTTAACTGCCTCTCTGGTTAGGCTACATCAAGGAATGCTAATGTTAGCTGTTAACTACGACTGCTTTACTACAGCAACTATGTCGTGAATACCTGGCTAAAAACACTTCGACTTGGCTAAACAAATAACATTTAATATTTGTTTTCTACCGTTAATCTTACTTTATATACGCCACTCAATGTACAGGCTACCTGCAATGCGCCGGTCTGAGCTTCTTCTGTCTCCATGGTGACAGAACGCTCTTGGTTTAGTTCAGGGTGGTTTGAGCTTTGAGTTCTCAATGTTGTTTTACAACAGAATTGGCGTACGTCGAGGATAATGGGTAGCATGAGGTACTTACAATGTTTCCTGCGATGTTTTTAAATGACTCAATATTGGAACACAGGGTCGAGAAATCGTGAGTTTTATCGTCAGTCGACAATATCTTTGGATATATTGTTACCAAGTTGGAAGGCGGAATTTTCTACGTTTCAGGAACGCAACTTCTTCTCTAGTCCTTTAAGTGTCCAGACACTAGTTGTCGTGTATATCACACATCACAAACCAGAGAATATAAAATACTCTACGCTAAAAGTAAAGTCAAGATACTTTCAAATTAACGCCATGAATAGTTTTTATTTATCAATTAACTTTATACCAAGTGCTGTAAACAGAGAAAAACTAAATCAACATTTGGTGTGACAACCCTTTTCTCCTCAGTACACTTGCACGTAGTTTCTTGGCAGGTAGGTTGTCCCCAAGTATCTTGGAGAACTTGCCACAGTTCTTTGTATATGTTTTTGTAGAGAACAGCTATGAGGAAGCTGCATATTGTCTGGCAACACATAGCTACATTAAGAAACATTTCTTGTAAAGTAAGAAAGACTTTGACAGACTTATTTACAAGTGACTTTCCTCAGGACAAGCAGATGTATTAATTGTACCATTACTTAAATGAGAATATCACAATGTTGCATTTTAGAAGGCCAGATATTGTATTATTTGAATACTGTATAATTGGCTGGATGTATTAACTGATTGTATTGAGTGTACATATTTTAATACCAAATCTAATTAAATCAGTAATTAGAAATTACCTCTAATGTATCGTTATTTATTTATTAATTACTTCATGCAGGAATAAAAGTGGGAAGACGAGAAAAAAAAAAAGAATCACAAAATTAACATTAAACCTCTAAATATTATTATTAGAGTAAGAAAGACATAACGGTGGGATATAAAAGGAGAACCTTGATATGAGTGTAGAGTGAGTGTGTTTTTGTGACATCCGTGTTGCAGCAGGCCGTATGCTGGAGCTGCTGCACTGTTCACTATGATCATGCTGTGAGGAACATTTGGATTCTACAAAGCTGGCAGATGGACCGCAGACATGGTCCATGGGCCTTTTGGATAAGAGCACACTGGAGTGAATCCATCTATTTTACAAACAACACAACAAAGCAGGTGCAGAGCTACAGGGTAGGAGGGGGGAAATCTGTAAATACCACTGGTAGAGACGCTGGCTGGTATTAAATAACACAAAAAGGGTGAAAACTACAGTGTGTATATACTTTTAAGATGAGAGATACATTAAACTACATGATTTATAGCCTCAACATTGTTTTTAACGTATCGTGCATGTAGTGTAAATATTGCATAACAATGATTCCAGACAGAGAAAAAATCACACTATATTTGCAAATCCTGAAATGGATGGAATCCAGATTTTTGGTGTCCTATCATCAGCTGTAGTATGGGGTTTATTGTGTAGGTTGAGCATGGAGAATGTTTACATACGGTCTTTCCTTGCATATTGTGGCATCACACTGCTTTGAGTGGGCTTATTTTTCTCAACGATTGCCCTCAGACAGACATACTTTGCAAGCAAAGGGCAAAACTATTCAAATTGATAAAAAGTCAGAGATTAGATATGATTACATGACTCGGGAGATGTGATATCTCCCTTAGTAAAACATACAAGTCAAATTACACTGTACGACTGTGAGCTGCAGAATACGAGTTCTGTTTTATTGCACTGATGCTCTGCAAAACCTTTCTAACAGTCACTATTTGTACGGGTGGAGGAGGATGCAGTTAGAAAATTATCTCTAAACTTCAATGACATTAAAAGATATTTTGCTAAGGCTGCAACCAACAATTATTTTCATTATGATTAAATAAATAATCTGATTATTCAATAAATTGTTTTGTCAAAGAATTTCAAAGATGTGCTCAGATTGTTTGTTTTGTGCAGCCAACAGACAAAGTTTACGATCATATGATCTGAATTTTTGTTATTTTTTTGCTTCAGAAAAGTTATTGATAGTTTCTTCTTGGTCGACCGACTTAAGTGACTAATAGTTTCAGCTCTGGTTTTTGCTAATTATGTAATAACCTGGGTAAGATTTTCACATGACCACTCATGGATGGATACATGATGCAGCAAAACAAACTCTTGTGTCCACGTGGAGAGGGAAAGTGTGTTTGAGAGAGAGAGATGGCCGTTACTGACATCATGAGGTTGCTCCAGGAGTCGGATGGAGGTTTGGACGGAGGAATGAGAGGCTCCAACTGTAGCCCCAAGGCAGTCCATCACCGTCGTCCTCATGTAATACGGCCTGACAGACACACGCTTCCCTCGTACTCCGTCTTTAATGGACTGGCGTGACATCAGCCATCCACAGCACAGGAGGCAAACTCACTCTGTGAGCTGTTGTTCCAGTGCACTCTGGAAAGAGGCTGACTCACGATGTTGGTTGTTCTTGCAGCTGCAATGAACAAGAACTGTACAGGTTCACTGATCAGCTTGGCATGTCCATTGTTTTGGCATGAGTTTGCATGATTCAGCTGTCAAACATTATTTAGGAATGATTAAAAAGAAACTAACTGCTTTTGTCTCACAGGAGAAAAGTAATAAAATAATGATACTGATCAGCAGTATTTTACAGGTCCCATAGTTTCCTGAAATTTCCTTGAAAGTAACTAATACTTGTAAATATCTGGTAAATAGTGGGAAGGTTCCTGGAAAGGAACATGAAAATAATCAAAAAAATAATCTTTCCCATGACTGATAATTCCCCCCGTTCTTCAAAAAGAAAATGCTGAGGACATCTGTGTCCTCAGTGGTAGCTACAGCGTTCAGTGATACAGTATTCAATTAATAGAAAGGAAGGGGAATAAACTCTCATCAAGCTCAAAGTCACCTTGACAAGAGAGACTTGTAACAAATTAAATCTATACAGCATCACAAGAAAATTCATTCAACCAAAGCAGCCCTCACACACACACAGACACACTAATTCAAACATTCATAAGCATTACTTACTGATAGTCCCTCAGAGTAAAGTGCGTAGCACTGGAAACCAGTCTTTCCTCATTAGTTTAACCCAGTTTGGTTTAAATGGAGCAGCTCTTTCCAATAAACGGGCCTTTTTCACAGCAGACATCTTGACTTGTCCTAATAGGAAAAGCACAGATGCTACTAATAACATCGTTAACTTTATCACCTTCAACACCTGTGTTTTTCCTGCTGTGGTGTGTTCAAATGTCTTCTGTGAAAAAGTTATTTTCCTCTGGATAGTGACCACTGCTTATAAACTCTTACTGCATCAGAACACTATCTGTTTTTTCTCTGTAGTACCAAATCACAGTTATTCAGGGACATTATTAAGAAATAAAACCGACTGTTTCAATGCTCATGTACGACACCAGGAAAACGTAGCACATCAAAATAAGAAGTCCAGAAACGAGCTGACAGTGCATCAGGATATTGGCTCATACATCTTTCTGAGTGTAGCGTGTTTCATATGGATAAGAGTTGTGGTATTGGAGTATTGAATACATGAAGTGATTATTTATGGTACGGTTAAAGCGGTTAGTCCTCTGGGGGGAGACCCTCACAGAGGCACAAGCAGGGAGTTTACACACAGCTGCAGCACAAACACTGTCCATCTACAATATGACGACTGTGTGCATTACCTTCTGCCTCGCTGTAAGGGCCGCTGCTATCACACGTCCATTTGCTCTCAGAGCCCAAGGAGCTGTTGCATTAGTTGCTGTGCAACACAGTATGTCTGCAATTACCAAAAGATGCAAGGATTTAACAAAATGAAGAGTTTGTTTCCAAGATGAAAATCAATTTTTGAATGTGACACCCAGTCCAGCAAAGTGGTGCCCCTGCTTTATTTTAAGTCTTATTTACTGATTGTTGGAACATTTAAAGGCCTAAGCAGTCTTACAATTATGAAACATTTTACATGCTTACAACTCAGCTTTGGGTTATACTGAACTTGATGTGACCTAACTTTGTCACACCATCTCATGACATAAAGTCATTTGGTTGTTTATGTAAGTCAGGACCAGTGAGAGCTGAGGTCAACTCTGGAGTGATGCCAGTGGGAGCGATTAGCGCTCTTCCTTTCCTGCAGCCCTGGAGCCTTTCAGCAAAGTGCTACAGCTTGTGTGCCAGGCAGGCAACTCCCAGGTGGTCATGTGGATGAATGGAAAGCAGGGCATCACTATAGAGAGCACAAAATAACAATGGGAAAAAAGTTAACCTTTTTGGTGATGCAGTGGGTTTGCCCATGTTTCAGTAGTCATAGTTTTGTCACATTAGTTCCTTCTTTTGTTGAACACAGTTGTTGAAAACAGCTGAAACATTTTTGAAACATGAGACTTGGCAGGTTGTTTAATAGGATTTCTTCTAAATTACGCTAATGGTTGTTGAGATATTTCAGTCTCGGCCAAAGTGATGGACTGACCCACAGACGGGCATTGCTGCATTGGTAACATGGTCAAAAACAAAAACAGTGGTATGGTCTTTTCAAACGGAGCATTGGTTTGTCTTCTGCCTGACCTTCACTGTCTCTGACAAAAAAAAAATACTTTCAACCATCACAACTTATGAAGTCTGACAGTTGTATAAGGATTACTAGGTCCATAGAACCATAAACACAGCGCTTGTACAAAGTTAATGTGTGCATCAAAACACACAGACAAGAAATCATTATGAAAATGCATAGCCATAAACTTTATTCCTTTTGTTGAAAATTAAAGAGAAAAGACAACTGATAATTTTACAAAAAGAAAAAAAAAAAAAACTTAACTAAATCTGTTTACCGGACTCATGATGAGACCAAATTTTACGTACTATCTTAAAGGTCCCAGGAAACATTCCAGGGAAATGCAAACATCAACACCAAAAAGTCCGATTCACATTCCAGCCGACAGGACAAGACAGGGCTAATCGTCAAACTCATCAACACTGTCATCAGAGAACCCACTGTAGGAAGGACTGGAGCCCAAGTGGATGCTACTGTCTGTGTCCACAGAGACTACAGAGCTCAGGCTGCTATCTATGGACACCATGCTGTCGTCGCTTTCACTGCTCCTGCTGCTGTCGTCGCTTTCACTGCTCCTGCTGCTGTCGTCAACGTGGATCACCATCACCTGTGCAGAGTCAGCTGCTGAAAAACACATAGAAAAAAACAAAACAAAAAAACATTGTGAGTTTCTTGTTTGTCTTTGGAAACATTTGAGAAAAAACATCAACTTCCCTCTGAGCCACTTCCAAGTCACATGGCTTTGAAGAAAAAGGCTGACATTATGCTGGATTTTTATTATTGGCAAGAAATCCCATGAATAGATTAAAACCGTCAGAACATTAGTTTCTCTCTTGTTACTTTTTGACTTTCCTGCCTCGTCTGTGGTTCTCAGCCCAAAACTGTATCGATCCCAGTAAAGACAAACGTTTAAAAATAGGTCACAAATATGTAGTTTCAGTTTTTAAAAGGAGTCATTTCCTAAAACTGCTGGACACTGTAGTTTTTAGAAAATGTTACTCAAACAGGAGTAAATAGTGCATTTGTTGGGGCCTATTTTCAGCTGCTGATTAACACACACGAGGTGAGTGTTTCTGGCAGTTTTATAGTGATGTTTCTAGTGCACATATTTAAACTACAGGTCACAGTAGTTCAGTGCTACATCATTTTCTTCATGTCTGTTAATAGAAATCGTATTGTCTGTTGTTTCGCCATTCATAAAACAATACCACACAACAGAAAAAAAAACACATAACTTGACCTCTCTCTACTGCCACCCTGTGTTCGCAGTTTACAACCCACCCCCACTCCTCCGTCCCTCACGCCACCAAGAAGCATTTGTTAAAATTGTGCAGTATCCTGACAGAGACAGGGAGTGTAATTACTCTTTAAACACCTTGAAAACCACATTTCTTTTACAGAGTGAGCAGCTTCACCGCACCTGCTGAGGGTCGAGCACTTTGCTCAAGGACACTTCAGCAGTCACTGCTGAGGACGAGAGAACATTAGTCGCTGAGCTCACCCGCACATATCAAAGCTCCCCAGTCATTTGATCTGATGAATGTGGCACTGTACACCATTGGATGTAAGTAATATACCGTCGTCATATATTAGTTTTATATGGGTCATCCGTGTGTGTGAGTGTGATCCTAACTGAGGAGGCTATACCACTGTCACATACTGTAGTTTTAAGTGCTGTGTAGGTGAAATTTGAGGGAGAGTTCATCACAGCGGACAAAGATAGGCAGGAGAACCCATGGGGAACGAAACATAATATAATATAATACTGCTGAAGGTATGAAGCTGGGGGAAAATGATATGGACAAAATTTACTGTGTATCGTGACATCATCATTATATCGACATGCTAGCATATTTAGTTCAACATTCAAACTCAGTTTTTATCCGAGTCAATTTCATTTGATATATTTCCTTGCACCCATGATATATTATTGAACTTCTCCGTATTGAATGATCAGACTGACTCTTGTCTGTTCCTGTACTCACTGTACGACAACCCCAAGACATTTGAAGGCTCTCCACACACCTGATCTGATGACATCACGGTCACAAGCTTGTTTGTCTGAAACCAGGAAAACTTATTTTGAGTGGTTTGCATTACACATACTTTTATATGTAAAAACTGGGAAAGTAACCTTTAAAATACAGTAAACTGGCTCTTATGTGTGTGTGTTTCATGACCTACTCATGCTGCTCTATAAAAACAACAAAAAATTAGTAAAAATAAAACTCCTTGTCTCAGTGTATTAACTGTAGGATACTAATGACACTGTTGATAACGCACCTCTCACCTTTCCTTTCAGTGATGAGCGTCTGGCGCCTCGTCTTCATGTCCAGGCTCAGGTTTTCCACCATGCGGTCGATGCAGTTGTCCAGTGCCAGGCAGCGGGTCTGAGACTGGATGGCTTGTCGGCAGATGGGACACTCGTTTTTCTTTTTGCGCCACTGATTGATGCAGTGACAGCAGAAGCTGTGAGCGCAGTTCAGGATGACTGCCTGTAGAAGATTGTAATACAGATTAAAAAGCTAAGTGTAGAGTAGGATGAACCTGTCACTACTGAGGAGTACTGAGCCAAAACCAACCAAACAAAAACCATTCATTCAGTCTATGAACTCTACCTCAATGAAGAGCTCGGAGCAGATGATGCACTGAAGCTCATTCTCCAGAACTTCAGTCACTTGTGTAACTACTTCCTCTTTTTGGGCCCTCGCCTTTTCTTTCTCCTCCTGTAAAAACAAGCACATAAAGGAAAAAGCTCCACTTCCAAACTATGTAAAGACCAAGTTAAAGTGAATATAGTCATACCTTTGTCACTTCCAGCTCTTTGTTTTTGGCCAAGAGAATCTCTTCAAAGCCTTGCCGAGAAAGGGCAAGTTCACCTATTACTTTCTTTTGCTATGGATGATATAAACACAAAAAATTAAAAATGTAAAAAATAAAATCTTTAAAATCTTATGCATTCATGAGAACTCTAAAACAAAAAATTATAATATTAAAAATAACATTTTACACTATAAATGCTGTGTCTGTTGGGTTGTATTTGTGTTTCTAAAACATAAATAAAATGAATTAGCACTAATTTTGTGCTACAGACCTCTTGCAAAGCTTCTTCCAGCTGTTTTTTCAAAAGCTCCTCTTGTTGCTGTGTTTTCTCTGCCTAAACACATAAAGTTACACTGTCATTAAAGAAAGTATTTTGTGTCTAGCAGTCACACATATGAAAAATGTGTTCTTACAGATTATATACAATATGCTTCCACCTCAGTACATAATGTACTGGAACATTTTTTTCATTTCCTGATAATCTGTTGGACCACACCACAAACAGAACAGAAATTTACAGGGGAAAAAGGAAAGTGTTATTGTTGTTCAGCCTTCTTTGTAAATGTTGCACGAGTTAAGGAAGTCTGACTTTCACAAATGTCTGCAATTTGGGTATATTGTGCCAAAACCTTGTTTCTGTAAATGTCAAGTCATGGAATGAACAAGGATGAAAAAAAAACTTTAAACTTCTGCTGCATGATATGACAAAAACAATTTAAAATTTTTGACACCAATTTAACGTTAAAGATAAAGTTCTCTGAGGTTCAGAACCTGAACTCCAGAGGTGGAAAGCAACCCTTTTGTTTCTATCACTTCAGTTCTTCTACTGAAGACAGCATGCTAACCAGCTAGCCCCAGCCTGTCCGCACTATCTCATCAGTTTCCAATAGCCGCTCACTGTAGTGTCCATTCTGCCCTGAAGAACTAGTGTCGGTCAGAAGGCGTATTATTACCTCTTGTCTTGCAAAAGCAACAAGCTCTTGGCAAGACTGGTGAGTAAACAGCTGTTAATGCTAACGTTGGCTATGTAGCAATAGCAAAATTTACAAATAGCTATTTTAAAATAGTTAGCTTATACAGTATATCAGACAGACAAACATGATACCAAAAGTAACCCACTACACTGATTCAGTAACAGAAAGGAGCTATTTTCAGTTCTGCACACTGGAAGCAGGTGTTGGTGATGTGTAGTCCACATGTAAAAAGATCTGCTGGAAAAATCTCCCACCTCCAGCTGCCTCTTAGTTTCACTGAAGGACTTCTCTAATGTCTCCATCCGGTGCATTTTGGCTCTGAGCGTCTCCAGCTGACCCTGCAGCTCCCTGACCTGCTCCTCTCTCAGAGGGTCGGCCTGCCGGGGCTGGCCCTCCAGAGAGGCTACCTGCCTCTGGGTGTCATCCACCTGCTCCCTCAGCAACAGAATGTTCTGGCTGTACCTGCAAAAACAAATACATGGGGGGAAAAATGGAGGGAGATCAGACCTCATAACAACATAACCTCATAACAAAAGTGAGCATCTCATTGATTGTAAGACAAAGGAATATATTAGTGAGTACCTGTTATTTTCCTGTATTAAATATTTCTTCTAATAATATATTTATATGGTTTCTTGTGGCATACAGTGCAAGCATGGAGATAAATTATCTGCTGCCATTTGCTTTTTTGGGATTACCAAATAAAGTTTAAGGTTGAAACAATCCTTTAATCAATTAGTTGACTGATGCAGGAAATGAATCCGCAACTATTTTGTTAAGAAATTAATGAAGTCATTTATCAAGAAAAATTATAAAAATTCATTGGTTACATCTTCAAAACTGAGGATTTGTGAGTATATATCTATATCAAAATACAACAAGCAATCTGAATACACATATTTCACGTTATAGAAAAAAAAAATCTACAGCCCTAAAATGATTTGTGATCCAGACCGACAGAAAAATCGTTAAGGAATCTGTATACTATAGGAACTGTGGCAAAGTTTGTCCAATCATCTTTAGGATTATTTAAAAGATTGTAATGGATTTATCTTTCATAGGAACAGATGTTTAGCTCTGTGACTCAAATGCAATAACACAGGAGAGGCACAAACTGGGGCTTACATCTGCAAGTTGTCCAGGTCACAGGGATTGCTGGAGCCATCGGAGGGCTGGTCTAATTCCTGGACTTGTCTACTGGGCCCAGTTTCCTCTGGCTGGGTGTGACTGAGCCTCTGCTGGCATCTCACTTGAGAAAGAGGGCAGGGCCTTGCAAATGACTTATCTGCAGAAGAACAACGGTAGAGCTTGGGCTTTGAGGTAGACGGCTCAACTTCTTCCACAGACAACTTCCTCTTGGACTTCTTGGAAATGTGTGCTGCTTTAGCACCCTCTCTATGTGCCTTTGCAAGGCAGAGTTTTATGTCTTTGAGGGGCCGCTGGACAAGGATGTAGTCAAACTCCACTTTGGTTCCAATTACAGGAACCCCAAGTTGTATGGAGTCTCCAAGCCTGAGCTGATGGGCTTCTTCAGCGGGAATGCGATTTCCATTGACCCGCACCCCGTTGAGACTCTGAGAAAGAAAACCACACTGTTTATCAGCAACAACATAAAGAATATATTCAATTTAATATAATAAATTATTTTTATTGGACCCCATCTAAAATGTATAGATTTAAGTTTAAACACATAGCATGTGTTGGGTATGTTCTTTTGCTCAGGTGCAAGGTTCATGAATACACTTGTGATTTTTCAAGTAATAATTTTGTATTCAGACCTAGATCGTATATATCAGGCATAATAATCAGTCGTTATCAGTTAAGAGTTTCAGTGTGTGACAGCTGATAAAAGTGGATTGTGATGGTTTTGGATGAGAAATGCATCATGTTGTTTTGCTGGTGTGCTTTTGTTTCCATGATAATGAGTGAAACTTTGCCTGTATACACTGCAATCATGTAAGATGAGGTTTTGGACTAAAACAACACACCAGGCATATAGCAAATGCCTGGTATAGTTTGATGGTAAACAGGAGGCTTTTCAACAAAATAGGGGACAAAATAGGGTAAACAAACGATTTCCCAGAAAGGTCAAGGCACACTGCTTCAACAACGTATAGAAGTTAAAAAGCCTAATATCGTGGCAAAATAAAACCTTCTTGTCTGTAACTGTCCACTGGCCATCTTCCCTCTGCTTGAAAGTACAGTGCAGTCTGGAGATCATGAGAGGACAAGTTGGAGACAGCAGCTGGTAAATTACATCCACACCACGTCCGATGGTGATCTGAACAGCCAAAAACAAAGATGACAAACAGCTAGTTAGCCACCTACTGTGCAGCTCTTTGAACTCATTAAAACATTCGGAAAACGACAAGTTCAAGAAAAGTTAACAGATTAGGCACATATGAGGGATTTACTTAATGTGGAAATCTGAATCTACCGTGAACTTGAACAAGGTTCAGGGTTAATGCGAGGTAAATTTAGCTAGTTAGCTAGCATTAGCAAACTGCACCTCAGTGTTTTCGAACAGGCGAAGCCAGTCTGAATTTCTTCCGACTCTCATCAAACATAAAACCTCTGAGTCTGAACATTCATCCTCTTCGGTCACAGAAGAATCCGTCGCTACATTATCCATCTTATCTCATTCTGTCAGCGGCTAAAAAGCCCTCAAACACGTCCCTTGCTATGTTGTTTCAGACCTCTGTGCCATAGCTAACGTTGCACTACAGTAGCGACAAGCTAGTGACTGACAGGGTCAGAACCGGAAAACGTTTGGTTTGTTTTCAAAATAAAGGCGTTTCATGAGTTGCACTAGTCATCCACCCTGTTGATCTTAAAATCACCGTTTTATGACACTACACTGGGTTATTTACATTTATTCATTGAGTCTGTGCTTTTGGTACACTGTAATATAGGGAATTCCCTGTCCTACAATCCAACTGCAGTACATTTAACTGCAGTATATGTAGAGTGCAAACTTTACAGGTTAAAATATCTCCAGCAAACAGGTTCCAGGAATGCTAAAGGTTATGTATGGATAAATATGACCTTGCCTTGGTAAATGATGTTACAGAAATATTCAGAAATAGATACTTAGACGTTACAGCTTGAAGCACAAAATAGAGCCACCCTGGAAAGATCTCCAGTCTATCACAGGAATGACATTATAGAGACAAACAACCATTCATACTCACATTCACACCATGGGCAGTACCTGGAGAGAACCCAGACAGACACTGGGAGAACATGCAAACTCCACACAGGAAGGCCCCAGGGTTCGAACTAAGAACCTTCTTGCTGTTAGGTGACAGTTCTAATCACTGCACTACCGCCAAAAAAAAAATAAAAAAAATACAAATTTCACATATTAAGTTTATATCATTTATTGCTAAAGAAAAAAGTAAGGATTTTAACAAGTTATTTTAACAACAATAAAAAATTACAATTTCATTTGACAGTGCTCCTTGAATGTTCTGTTAACACATTATTTTCATCAATAATATCTGCAGACAATTGAGCACACATGAAAAAGAGGACTGCATATCCTTAATAATTATTCTATATTCAGTATCAGTCAACTGATTAGTTGTTTAGATTTATTGATTAATATAGGGCTCCAACTAAAACTAAAAACTAAAACTTTTGTATTTAGTGAAAAAAAATCATATTGGATCTTTAAATCAAAAAACACTTTTGTAGTAGGCTACAGACCCCTGAATGCAGCCATGCCACAGACATCCTATTGCTGGTGAATCGGGCGACCCCGCTTCCCAAAACGCGCGCACCCCGAGCTCCAGGCGGGACTTCCTTTCTCTTGCGGATGCAATATCAGGGTGAGCAGGCAGAAAGGGCTTGGTCGGGGTGTCACCGGTCTATCTCTGTGCGCCTCTGGACAGCAGATAACCTGGATGACGACGCTGCAGTTTCTGAAGCCCCGTAGATGAATCTCCTCCTCGGCTATGCTGCCCTGAGAGCGCCGCGAGTACCCGCCCCGCCAAAATGTCTGATGTCAACAAGACTATTCAGAAATGGCACGCCAGTTTTAAGAAAGGCACAGACTTTGACTCGTGGGGACAATTAGTGGAGGCTATAGATGAGTACCAAATGTAAGTTGCATTCAACATGTGTATTCTAGCTCTCCACACAGCTGGTTTATCCTGAGCACATGCTTCTTTTGCGCTCCTCTTTTTTTTTCTCTTCTAATGAATCTGTCCTTCAGTCTGCAGGGAGGTAACAGCAATGTAGAGGAGACAGTGTGTGCATTGTGGTGCTTCCCAAGAAGTTAGCCTCTGGGCTGTCAGTCAGCGCTCAGAGCAGTAAATAAACCCTACCCATCCATGACGTGATGTGGCAGTTGTTGCGGACGGAGCAGAGCCGCTGTGTGCATGTAGCATCCCAGCTTCATTCAGTCGCCAGTCTGAGTTGAGGGAGAGTCCTTCCATGAGCCTGTCATGGAAAACCATCCCGGGCTGCTGCGTGCAGTAGGTTTCATTATGTGTCATGCAGCGCAGAATCGGGCCAACATCCCTCAAGAGTATTGAGAAATAGTCAGCCACACCCTCTTATTGTTATGGGTGGGTTTCATCTGTTTAGTGAGGAATGTTTCCTGCTCTCAGACAAGTCTTTTTTTTTCTTTTTCTTTTTTCTACAATTAATTCAAAATGTCATCTGATTTGTCAGCTAATTAATGTTTTATTTAAAATGGTACTAAGAACACAATATCTAGGTCCTCACACCTAAACTGCTTGACCGCAAGGGGGCGCAGGGATACATCTTGCAGTCACCTTACTCTAATTTTACATTACTCTAATTCAGTTTTACATTATACAGCATGCATGCACTTCTAACTATGTTCTTATGGCTTATTTCAGTCTCGCAAGACAACTGCAAAAAGAGGTCCAGTCAACAAATTCGTCAGACTTCACAGAGGAGCAGAAGGTAATAATTACACCCCTTACACCTCCATGGAAAAAGAGGTCAGGTACTTTGCTTAAATTAACAAGTGCTTTTTCTCGTCCTGTCTTCTTCCTTATCTTTTTTTTGTTTGTTTTTTAAGAAAACTTTAGGGAGGATTGCAACATGCCTGGAAATGAGAAGTGCCAGTTTGCAGGTTTGTGTCATTCTATCTGAGCTTGTATCAGAGCCACATCCACAATTTGAGAAATACTGAGGTCAGGAGTCCAAACTCCAAAAAAGAAAAAAACTAAATCATTTTAATTTATTGAATTTGTATTTATTGTTATCAGAAGCAGTCCATTTTGAATACACTGAGTGAAAGACATACCAGAATGTGCTTCAAAAACATCAGGTGTAATTTGTGTATAATTCAGGCTGTTAAAGACCTCAGTGTCATCACTGCTAGCTACAGTGTGGGCATACACTGTTATTGATGGCTCCCAATGTCATTTATTATTCAGAGTATGATTCATGTTTAACAGTTACCTTCTCTCTCAAAGCACAAGTACTTCTTAAGTCTCTTAACGATGTACGTTGTTAAACGTGTCCTCTGTCTTCTGTTCTGCAGTGCACACAGTCAAAGGAGGAATTCAAGTTAGAAGACCTGAAGAAACTGGAAACCAGTAAGGGCATGACTGGGAATTTAGAGTCCCCTTGTTAATATAATAATCCCTGGGTCTTCTGACGGTTTCTCTTACACTTGACTTTCTCCATTTGTCAACAGTTATTAAAAATATACTGACCTATAACAAAGAGTTTCCTTTTGATGTCCAGCCTGTGCCCTTAAGGTAAATATCCATCACCTTTTTGATATTTATATGTTTTACAGTATATTTCCCTTTGCACTTACACCTGAGTAGAACCTGTAGGGCTGTAACTAACAATTATTTTCATGATTGCTTAATGTCTTTATTGTTTTGTCCTTTTTTTGATTAATCAATTTATTGTTTAGACTATAAAACTATTAGAAAAGTGTGTAAAATGTCCATCACAAGAAGTGCACCCAGAGCCAAAGGTCTCATCTCATCACATTCTTTATTGTGTTCTACCAACAGTCTCAACCACAGTCTATTAGCTCTACTTCTATGCTCCTATATTCTAAATCTGCGGCTCACCATCAGAGTTCAGAACAAGAGTCAGAAAATTAATTTTATTGCTTGAACGATGATTAACAGAATAGTAAAACATAAAGAAAACTATCTGTACTACTCAAAATTATATTTACTTTTTTCCTTTTTTTTTTTTCTTGTTTGTCTTGTGTAACTGGATTATTTTACCCCTTTGGGCCATTAAGGTCGATTCAAATAATATGACATATTATTATTAGTTAGACAAAAGTCACTCTGGTCGGTGCAAATAGACAACAGTTTTGTTTCTAATGGTCACAAGCTAAAAAGTTTGTGAACCTCTGTTCTACGTCCCTCTCTCTGCTGCCACCATGTGCTGATTTTCTCACAGGAATATTAGATCAAAGTGCTTAAACTTTGTGTCTCTCTCTGTCAGGAAAATCCTTGCTCCAGGAGAAGAGGAGAACCTTGAGCTGGAGGAGGAGGAGGATGCAGCAGCAGGAGCAGGTTCCACAGAGGCTTTCCCCCCGCGAGCCCCCGGTACTGTCGCTTCGCCAGTAACGGCTTACCAAACACATCCGCTGTTTGGGATATTTGCCTGCTTGTGTCATTTTGTCCTGTTTTTGAGGGCTGTTTGACTGTGTGTCTTTTTGTTCCTTCTGTCGGTGCTGTGCATGGCTTCATCGCTCATTCCTGCCTGCCTGCTTCACTTGCAGCTTCGCAAGGTACTGTATGGCTTTACCCAGGAACGGCATCTGAATTTGCTCTTTACTACGTGACAGACACGATTATTATAACAGCCTGTTGGTGGAAACACACAGTTTGTTGCTGAATTGACAAAAATGTGATTGATTGCATATAAATTTAAAAATCACATGCTTCTTTTTGACTGTATAGTTAAGGTATGTAGATTTAGATCCCTCTGTTAGGCTTTGATTATTTTCATCAAAGAGTTTTCCGTCCATATTCTAAGTTATCTCTGTATCTGCCACTGTGCTGGAGAGTAAAAGTTTTTTTGGGTTTTTTAGTTAAACAGCTATTTCTATAGTTATACCTACACTCAAACAGCTGTTTTCAAGATCACTAATGAACGTTCAAGCTCAAACTATTATTCTGTTAGTGTTCAACCACCACAGCTTCATTGAGGTTTTGATGCTGCGCCAGTCCCTCAAAGGAGCATGGGTGCTGTACTTTTATCTCAAATACCGAGATACCAATTTAAATTAAAGCTGCTCTGATCGATATTTTTCTATTAACAACAGATCAAATAACTACATGTTATGTAAACAGTAGTTGCTCATAGTGACGGACACACACACCCCTCAGCTCCGCCGAGTGTGTTATCATCTTTCAGCTCATTGTTTTGGTTTCACAGCCCAGAACTGTGCTGTCCCGGTTCACTCTCACTGCTCTCGTCAGAGTCGTTCCCTCAAGGTTGACGACTAATATGCTTTAAGAACTGAAAGCTAGTGGAGCAGATGCTAACCAGGGAGTGTAGTGGGAGTTGAGCTCTTTAAAAATGGATTAATTTTTAATATTTAAATGGTAACTTAACACTAAAGCCTGTCATCAAACGATTAAAAGCATGCAGCTAAAAACATCGTCTATTGGTTATTGGTTGCTGTTTGGTCCCAGGTGATGTCATCATCTGTTGTTATGGTAACTGTTTAACGCCTGTAACCTTTGTCCTTTTCAGGTACCTTGTTGCCACGGTTACCCTCCGAGCCAGGGATGACACTACTTACAATAAAGATTGAAAAAATTGGCTTGAAGGACGCCGGGCAGTGCATCGATCCTTACATGACCATTAGTGTCAAAGGTATTGATCCCATAGTGACCCGACATGTGAAATATGTGACGCCTGTAAGCAGCTTGAGTCTGGTGAAGTGGTGAGGACCTCCACAGCTGCTGGTCTCAGATTACAGCCGCACCCTTGGCCTCTGCTGTGGTGCTTCCTCTTCTCTCTCACTCTCTCTCTCTCTTTTAAAGAAAGTGGACTTCAGAGTTGTGGACTGTCCGTGTTTCTGTGAAATCTTAAAAATATTGCAAAAAGAAACAAACCTCTTCACAAAGCTTCTTACAGCTGTGTAACATGCCTTTCATGCTCTGTCGCTGTCTCTGCAGATTTAAATGGTGTAGACTTGAACCCAGTGCAGGACACCCCTGTGGCCACCAGGAAGGAGGACACCTACATCCATTTCAGTGTGGACGTAGAGATCCAGAGACATGTGGAGAAATTACCAAAAGGTAATTCCCTATATTCCCGATTCCATAATCTAGTTTTAAGAGTTTTTGTTATTTTAGTTTACATTGTGCTCAAATGGTGCATATCCTACAAAAAAGTTGATTCATCAAATAACTACAAACTGACTAACACAGAGAGAACCAATGGCCAGATAGTGAGGCTGCCAAGTAGAGTGTGCAACAGGTGGTTTTGTTCTGAAATCGAGAACAGGCCTGAAAATGAATAAATCGTATGTCAATCATTCGATATTGTCCTGTAATATTCACAGTTTAACTAATGCTGTAACTTTTTCCAGGAGCAGCTATCTTCTTTGAATTCAAGCACTACAAACCCAAAAAGAGGTTTACCAGCACAAAATGTTTTGCCTTCATGGAAATGGACGAGATCAAACCCGGACCCATCGTAATTGAACTGTGAGTCACTGGTGGTATTCTTCTCTCTTTTTTTTTTTTTTGAGTCTTTCATGTCTAGTGGATCATGAAGCGCGTAATTGTACCTTCTTGAATTTCAGGTACAAGAAACCCACAGACTTCAAGAGGAAGAAACTGCAGCTTCTGACAAAGAAACCACTTTATCTCCATCTTCACCAGACATTACACAAGGACAGCTAAGTCAGAGCACGCCTTGAACTTTGCACCTCCTCTTCCAGTCTCACTTACATCCACATCCAGCAAAATGTGGTGTTCCACCTCATCACATCCAGCAATACTAAATCAAGGCCTTTGCCACCCCCACCCCCCCAGTTTTCCAGAGTATATGAAAAAAAAAAAAAAAAAGGGAACTGAGCCAAACATTAGTCACATACCGCCACTTTAGTTTTTCATTTTTATATTCATTGATTTTGTTGTGAAATACATATCCCATCTGCTGCAGGAAACCCTCCTCCAAAAATAATGGTGTTTTGACTAGCTGGAGATCCAGGGTTTTCATATTACAGCAGTGGTATAAAACTGTTAAACCACCTCATCTCGAGTCTTCCTTCTGGCACTGATGTAGGGAAATGGGACACAATGTGAGTTTCTACAGGTGCTTAATTTGAGTTCAATACTTCATAGAGTTGTTGGACATTGAACCTTGGACTGAACTTAGAATTCAGATAAACATTAAAAGCAACAATAGTTGCCAGAAAATGTGGACTTGTCTGGGGAAGTCAATTCAGAGTTTGTGAAGCCATTCCCTGATTTAAATAACATTCAAACAGTGTCACAGTTTGTTTACTTCATCAAGACACCAAAAGTGCATTCTTGAATTCTACGATATTCCAGGATGGTTTATGGAGTCTCGAGTGTGCTAAAATTATATCCAAATAATAAATCGTTAAATTTAACAACACTATAACAAAATAGTTAATTAAATAAGCATTTAAATTGTGCATTACAAACAATATAAATGATGTTAAAAAGATTAATTAGAATTACATTTTATTTACTCTCACTTAAATTGACTTGTAAAATAGAATGACCAAACTAATTTTAAAAAGGTAATTAAATGACACTGTATTATTCCTCTGTCTGCATATCATATCCCAACTCACAGTTTACATTTTGTGCTTTCTTTAATATTAATCTGCATTAACTGAATTTTTATTTTTTATTTTTTGGCTACTTTGATGATATATTATCACCTCTTCAACTGACATGGCAAATTTGTTAGCAAAAAAGTTATTTATTTACACATCCAGCAAACACAGAGCAATGTTACCATTGATTTGGAGACGTGCTTCTGTTTCACCTGTAAAATGTAAGTCCAATATTCACACTCTGTTTTGGTCTCCACCAATGTCTGAGAGAGATATCAGAGCTGATTCTCTGTGGCTTTGCTGCTTTGAGTGGCAGCTATAACATTACATGTAGTCATTTGACTCATTGTTAATATAATGATCTGGTTAAAATAGAAATGAATGAAAATTAAATACAAAAAAGTGGTGGCACGCTCCAGACTCCATAAGTGTTTAGTCACAGATGGTACTGGATTCAACAGTCACATTCATAATGTTACATGGTGCAATTATATGTTCAATATAAATAAGGTGTCTTTGATTAGAGACCTCTACATTCTGCTCTATTAGTTGGCATTTTTAGAGAAATAGTATTTGAAAGTTGTGTTGGCCTTTCTCAACATTTCTTGCTAAATTTGATTTTTAAATGTCAGATTTTCACTCTGAATAACTGTCCCAGCCCAGAATGAATGAGATTATGACCCGGAAGCAATTAGATTTTAATTCTGACAGTTGCTACGCCAGTGTTCATTCTTCAGTATGTATTGAATTTATTACATTTAAATACTGTTGCATAAAGTTTTATAAATGCATAAAGTTTAAAATGGATGCAGCATGATTTGCATGCTGTGAATGTGTATTCTGTAAACAGTGTAAGCCTTCGGTTAAGGCTCAGATATTTAACACCAACTTTTTTCTAAGCAGTTTTTTGATGGATTACAGATGTTTATCACCTGCCAGGAAGTGGTTTTTGATCTAGTGTTACTTTGCAGATGAAATGTTTTATGTATACAGTTATATTTGAATGAAATGCTTACATGGAACTGTGTTTGGAGGATGCATCCTTAACGGTAGTCAAAGGACAGATTTGTGCTCTCGGACTGACTTGAAGGATTGTCTTTCGCTTCAATTGTTACCCAGAAAAGCCCACTACTCTTATTTTGAAATTTAACGTCACCCTGTTATAAAGGGCTTTTTCAAAAATGAAGTTGCATGTAACTTTGTGTTTCCATTCTGACTCTGCAGGTGTTCTTCACTAAAACATCTACATTGTACTATTTGATTTTAGATTTTATTTTTGTAATGTCTCAATATTCAGGACTGTAAATTAACTGTAAGATACACTAACTGATGAATATACAGTTCACTGTATATATGTATGAAGTGCTACGATGTGGTAGGACTGAGAACTGTTGAGTGTTTTAGTTTTGTTGACAGATTGAGGGGAATTGTATCAAACATTTACAATGCTTTTAATTTCTAATAAACTACAAATGAGGCATTTTGGTGGATGATCTCATTCAGAGTCCCTAAATGATTCTGTCCTGTTATTATATTGTTGCTCTATTACGGACTCAGCATCACTCCTACATTAACTTAACATATGCATTCAAGGCTTTGGACAGTCCTTTGAAAAAAGAGCTATGACTTTTGTTTTGCATGCTTTCCAAAAGGCTGTTCAAGTTACTTTATTTCTCAATAGAATATATTCCTTTCTCAAAAAACAATATTTTTTTTAGCTTAAAGAAGATGACAATGTCATCTGCCAAGGTTGTTTTACAGCATTTTCATTGATTTCAATGGTTTTTTTCATCCTTATCAACTAACATTGCTTATACAACATAGGAAATAATTACCATAAAATAAAAATCATAGATAAAAACACCAAACTATATTCCTCAATAAAAAAAACTGTTGGAAAATGTAGTTTTATGTTTTTATTTTATGGGTATTTGTTTCCTATGATCTGCATCCAACATTGATGAATGTGAATCCCCATGATATTACGAATGAATAAATTGAACTTTGAATATTAGGTAGGTTCTGAAATACCATCTCTCAGATGTCTACCTGCACCTCAGCACAGTGGAGATCAATGGAATTTAATATAGTGTTTAAACAATTTAGCAGAAGCTTCCCTTCCCAAAATCTACTAGTCTACTACTCAGGACAATGCACAGACCATACAACACAACTTTTGGAGAAATTAGAAAGGGAACAGTTTGCGTCAATTTGTGTGGATTATCCAGTAGACACTGATTTAGAAGAGATGCTGCCGTTAAATGTTTCAAATGTAATTTTTCAGTTCTGAGCTCTGTAAATGAAATTCCATTCACCTCCATTATCTTACAGTGGAAGCAGAAAATCTGGGTTATCTCAAAACCTGGACAAATTAAAACAAAACTACCTGCATGGCCAGATACGACTTACGGCAGGTAAGTAAAATGTGTTTTTTTTATTTGGGTGAACAAACACCTTGAGCTTCTTTAGTGCATCTTGATTTGGACTTTGAGTAAATTCAGCATCAAACATTACAGGCACCACACTACACTGCCAATAGTCCTGAGGCAGTGTGTCCTAATGAAATAGGTGTGATGGACGTGTTCTTGCCTTTTGAGAAAAGCAAGAATCAGACGAGGAGAGCTGAATCTTGTTGAAGCCACATTGTCATGTGTTTTGGACATGGAGACAATTCCTAAAGTACTTGTTTACATTATACAAAAATGTAGTACAGACATGAATTGTATGAGGCAACAAAATGTCAAGTTCTTTCCCTGCCCACTCAAACAGGCACATTAAGCAGGAGAAACGAAATATGGTACATGCAGTTTTTGGGTAAATGAGCATGTCAACATCAACAGTCGAAAAATTAGTGCTTCTATCTGAGTAACAGCACAGATGTATGCCTTATTTTTTCTCAAAATGAAGTCCGTAACACACGTTGCAAAGTATCTAGAGTGTGTATGACACATCCTCTGTACGTGAACTGTAACCAGTTGATAACATAACACCGACAACCTTTACATTCTTTATTATTAAAAGTTCTACCAACATAGTAAAATAAGTTATACATCTGGCCATCAAATTACACATTTGCTTTAAAGTTCACTCTAAAGCAACAGCTTTGGGAAAATTATGATATTCTTGAAATGCTAAAAGCTAAACCTCTCTCCTTTTTCTCCTATTTTAAAATAATTTCCACAGGAAATGACATTAAAAAAATTTGCCCCTTAAAAATCACTGCTATAGGTTTTTTTTTTATTTAATGATCAACACAAATTAAAATTGTCTGGCATATTTATTGCACAATAAGCTGTTTAGAAAAGTGGTAACCCTTTCAACTTATATAGATTTCAGACATATAATTATTGATGGTTTATTTTAAGGATCTTTTTTTTTTTTAATAAACATGATTGCAGTTTTTTTTTTTTTTTTTTTTTTATAACTGGAAAAATGAAAATAATCATGAGCTATGTTTGGACTGGGTCTGGTTTGTTAATGTGATGGGTTCGGGGTAACAGGGTGTTCAAGTCCTCTGCCGTATCTGGTGGCATTTTTAAGGCTTGACCATTGCTGGCCTCGCTGAGTCCTGAGGGGCCTCCTGCTTCACATGCAGGTCCTGCCCGGGGCCGCTGTGAGCTCCCGCTGAGTTGTGGAGGGCATCGGGTGGAGCCTGACCATAAGCATCCCCAGGATGTGTAGGATGGGGTGGGATGCCTGGGGGTAGGTCCATTGGTGGGGTTGTGTGGTCACGTGGACCTGGGAAGCGCATGTCATGAGAGACGGGTGGACGTGGTCCAAGAGGCCCACGGACACCTTCACACAGCAAATGACAGAGGAACTATTACAGATAACATACAGTGGCTGAAAATGATCAAATGAATCTTTCCTTTTGAGAAAAGCTTGGGCTCAGTATGTATAGGTCTGCAATGGGATATACTGCTTCCAGTAAATGGCCACAGCCTCACACTCTGAACAAAAGCTTGTGCATTCCTCCACCTACTTGTTTTTTTCATATTACCAAACTAACTGCTGGTGTGAAGTTCTGTGAGACAAAGCTGAACCAACTTTGAAGCAACAATATGTAACTTTCAAGAAATAATAATTTATTCTTCTTAAAAATGAAACACTGAACTAGTAGGTTATGAAACACAACCTTGCTCAGTTCAATCCACTCAGGGATTTTACTACTACAGCTTGACTTGGTCTACTTTGACCACTAGGTCATGGTGTCTAATGTTAACT